CCTAGCTTTGCTTACGATGAAAACACTCATAGCTACACCAATGCAGGCTATGAATCCATCGGCGGCGGAAGGCCAATCCGGTGCGGGATTCTCGACCTGATCCCAACCAAGGGTGCAAGCTTCATCAACAATCGATGGGACCTCGTGAACGAAGTTGTCCTTCGCGACATCACCCGTCAGCGCAGACTGAACGCGGATTGGGCGCTATCATGCATCCAATCTGACCTGCGCCACAGAATCGCCAGGCGCCCAGGCTCGGAATGGCTTGACAACAGGTGCCAGGTGGCATTCAACAGTGTCATCAAATGTGATGAAGGAGGGTGGGTGATGATCGAAGACTTGGTGAGGCATGAGCCACTATGGACCCATGAAAGCAGACGCATCACCGAAGGGGTCTCAAGGACCGATGATCAACAGAAGAAGAGAGTGTACAATGAAAGACTTCAGCTATTGTTCCAAGGGAACATGATTGCAGCCACGAAACGCAACAAGGCCAAGATTCGGTTGCAGTTCCTGGGTGTGAGAGTGAAGGACCCCGGCACGGAAGTTCTTGGATCAGCAGGTTCGAACAGGTTGGTATCGGTTCAGGACCAGATCACGGAGATCCAGAACAACGATCATTGCCGGCATGGCCAGAGGTACTTGAACATATGCAATGGCTGGGTGAAGCCATGGGCAGTTCGGGCTACGAGTGGTCACTCTGCGCACTCAGATCCCCAGAACAACTTGCTTCAGTTGGACAAGAACAGGTTCGCAATATCTCCATCTATGACCCTCTTGCAACGTCTTGGAGGTGCGTTCCACGCTACGGCATGCCGCAACTTGGATTCCATTGTCACGCAAGGCATCATGCCTGGTTCGGAGGACCCCGACGGGGACTTCGACCATAGGCGCCAATTCCGAGGCAACCAAGGTGGCAGACTCCACAGCTATTGGGGGGTGTTTGCGCCGTTCGATCACCGGAACGCAACGACCAAGATGCGAGTACATGGACGAGACGCCAAGCACATGCCATTGGCGGTCCTTCATGTCCCATCGCAAGACCTTGCACGAGAGGATGGACGTATCACAGACAGCGGCATCATGATCGTTGGTCGAACGATACCTTTCCATTTCGTCAAGGAGGTATGGTTTTGCGTCCCTGATCCTCGAGATACACACTCTTTCGCTCTGGTGGAAAAGATCTACGATGAAAGGTTGGAGAAAGAGCTGGTGTTGGACTACAATGCATCACCGTTGCTTCCTGAGTTCGAGAGATACCGAACGCCAAGCAAGATCATGGAATTGCTTTGCGAGATGCCTCCTGGACCCCACGACACAAGCAAGGAGCAGATCATTCGTGACCTCACGACTGTCCTGGAGTCCCACAGGGAGAACACGGTTCGGCATCACTACATGGACAAAGGAATCAAGTTTGTCATCAAGAATTGGCGACCCGAAGACCTACGCAGAGACGAGGATGGACGGAGAATGAGGGTATGCCCGGCATGCTACAACATCGTTCCAGCATGTTTCTCCCGATGCACGTCTTGCTGGTCACAGTTCATTTCAAGCGGATATTACCAAGGTTCTCCACAACGGGAGACTCCTACGGAGATCCCCAGTGACTTCATTGCTCAGACAATGGAAGCCGCAGCAGCCGCAGTGCCTGAGGCGCCCGAAGAGGAGCAGGAAGCCATGGAGGTAGAGACCGTTGCGGAACCTGAAGAAATCCCAGAACCATCTGTCATCGCGGAGGACGATCCAGAACAGGAACCTGATGAAGAAATGGACATAGAGCCTGGAGAGGACTTTGATGACGCAGTGCCAGAAGCAATTGCACAGGAACGTCGTCCCGTCTTCGTTACCGGCCAGTCTTTGAACATCGATCCTGAGCTACAACTTGCACGTACCGCCATGCAGCCATCCTACTATTCTGGAAAGCGAAATGCCCATTGCATTGACGCGAACATGACCGCTCTTTCGTACATGGCATACGTGGTATGCAGATCCATCTACAAGGCTTGGTCAGGATTCGCAAAGTGGGCGACTATGCCGTTGTTTCAGATGAGGGAAAGTTTCGCACTTGGCCAACGCTATGATGTGCTTGGAAAGTGGGGATCTTTGGCGGCAGTGGATAGGGAAACGGGTGTGAGCAAGGACGTGACTGATGAGGAGATCATTCGCTTTGCCAAGGAACCTGAGAACCTCAAACAGTATGATCCCAACGGGACTTACACCTTGAAGCGCTTCCGGACGAACCAGATGCTTTCTTTACTTACACGGGGAGCCAACATGATGGGAATTGGCAGGGACAACTTCAACCCTACTACTTACTTGAAGAGCGAAAGGGATGAAGATGTGAAGGCTATGCACTTTTGTTGCCTGAACGTCCTGTGCGAGGTGATCCCAATGGTGACGGGACACCAACAATTCTCAGTGCTACGACCAACGCCAACTGGACCAGTGGACTTCTTGTACATCGACCCCGTCGGTATTCTGCTGACTCATTCTGATCAGTCAGTCCAGACCATCGGCTTGCTGGTGGACCACAGTGTGCAAATGCCTGCGCATTTCATGGACAGATTGAACAGATCCAAGGCTGAGAGACAGCAAAATCCGACGACCAAGCGTACTGAAGCCCTACACCACATTTCGGCCGCTGACTATCTTCCTCCAGGTGGTACATCCATCCTGGACACGCCTGTTACTGCAGAGGAACGTGAAAGCGCTTCTTCGTCCAAGGGACCTTCAAAAGGGCGTGGGAGAACCGGAGGTGAGCAACATGGAGGCTGGAACTCCAACTCCTACTACGACTACACCGCCGGCAAAGGCCGAAACAAAGGCAAGGACAAGGGAAAGCATCGGGAACAGTATCCAGAGGAAAACCTCCGGCCCTGGGACCGCGATCCTGCGACCACGCGAAGATGGAGATGAATCAACGCTTGGTCTTCCTCGCCTATCAGTTCGTGACCTCTGAGCTTCGCCCATGGAATGCCATCGCGAATGCTTCTTTCTTCGGTGACGCCTGATTCGTTTGCCATTTCAGGGGATCGTTACTGACGTAGATGAGTGTCACAACGTTTCTAATTGGGATGCAAAGCTCTGATTTCAATGTCAACGTTGCGGCGGAACATCTTCTGTTGTCCTATCGTGCCATCTTCCGGGTGAGCAGCGTCGGAGACGCAACTCATGGGGGGTGCGAACGGACTGCGATGCCTTGTCATGTTCTAAGGTGTCACTATAAGAGCTGTGAGCAAGACCGTGTAAAGTGCAAGATAAGGGGGCACGCTACGCGTCCCTCGACTCTAGGGGGCATGCTACGCATCCCTCATCTTTACCTTTCTATGTGACCGCCAACGCAACGTTTGGCTCAAGTCAATGCCCATAGCTAAGTGCTATATGTGTCTTCTATCCTGAGCAATCAGAGCTATCCCGTTGCACAGACGAACCGCCGCCGGCAGTGAGTGCAAAAGGAACGGCCGCCGGTTCTGCCTGCATAGGATCGCACGTGTGGAAGTAAGAGGGAGAGACAGGGTCCAGTCTGTGGAGAGTGCTAGCCAGCCACACCTACATTCATTACAGCTCTGGTGGGGAGAGCAGCAACCAAGTCGAGATCAATCCCCCACGCAAGTGTAGTATAGTGAAGTGTAGTATAGTATAGTGTAGTATCGCGTAGTTTGCGCCGGTGTACAGAGGCTGCTAAAATGCAACCCTTGTCTTGTTCAGGGTCCCCGCAATCGCGAACTTCTGCTTGCCCTGGCTTCACGGACATTCCACCACATCTGGACCCGGTCCTGCATGTCAGCTGCTTGTTTGTTTGCATGCTGCCAGCTGGCATGCAAGGAGCCTGCCGGCACGCTGTGCAATGCGTTGTGCCTCCACTGCGCGATGGGCGGGCGCAGGCCTTGAAGTCCCTGAACCCTGGTAGGAAGATCCGACACTGTACTATGCCATAGTTCTATTGTACTATACGTTTCATTATACGAAACTATACCTTACTAGACCCTGCTGTAACATACCATACTTTACCATAAACATATTATACTATACTGTACGATAGCGCAACACAAGAAAGACCGCCGGGTCTCTTGGACGTAGCCCTTTGCGCTGGCGGCAGGCAGATTCGGAGCTTCCCGGCAAACTTCCTGGGTCGACTTGTCCTTGAAGCTTGGTCGACAGTGATGAAACATAGGGTTTAGGGGTGGAGGGATTAGGGTTTAGGGATGAGCGTTTAGGGTTTAGGCGCTGGCCGGCAACTCAGTCCGTGCTGAAAAAGGGCTGAGGTATGAGGGTTGCCTGGCCCTCCGTTTCCATTCTTCAGGGTGCCCGGCAGTCGCAATAGGCCTGGATGCAAACAAAAAGGGTTGACGGCGGTTTAGGGTTGAGGGTTTAGAGGAATGGTAAAACTTGCGAGGAGGCGAGACTCAGATCGTGAGGGGTTTTTGAGACTGAGGGGTTTTGAGACAGTCTCAATTGCAGTTGCAGGGCCGCAGGTTGCTCTCACCCGGAAGCTTCGCGAATTTGACCAAGCAAGACAGGAAGCCTGCCTTAGAGTAGCCTTGAGTACGGATTCGTTTACTCCGCATGCCAAACTTGACTGACAAGCACTCCTCCACGTGTGACGAGTTTTTGAGGAGCGATCGAAGCTCACATGATGCGGGCGCGGTACAAATGCGCATGATGCAGCCGTGAAATCGGTGAGAAAAAGATCGCAGTACGATGCCAGAACGACTTGTCCTCTGTGGTGTGGATCACTTGGAGTGACGGAAGTGGGTCTCGCAAGGCCAAGCGCATCTCCAAGAAGGAGTCTGCGACTTAGTAGCTGATGTCGCCAACGGCGGATCGTGTGGAGTTCGCGGTTCTCACGAAGTTCCTTCTCCCAACCCGTCGTTTGTTCCGTTCAGGGGTGGCATCCAGACCAGGGATCACCCTTGTTCTAAGGCTCGGTATAAGCCAACGTTTGTACCCCAATCCGGCAACAGTCAAAGTGCTCTGCAGGCCTACGATTCATTCCTGGAATGTGTGCGGCCGCAAGCCTACTTCATCGGCTGAATCAAGCTGTTGCAGACACAGCTTCGCTTGGAGGAGATGCCCAGACAGCTACCAGAAGAAGTGTCGCACAGAAGCCGGCAAATGCAGTATGCTGAGTAATACAGGGGGCCTTAGTAATTAGAATAGGGTTCGGGGTGTATTATACTATATCCCCGAAACCATATTCTAAATATTCTAATTAGTAAGGCCCCTACAATCACGATCTTGCAGCTTCCGTAGATGTGGTAACCTGACCTGTCGCTCAGATCTGGCGTGTATGGAAGAGAACAAATCCTGGAAGTCGCAAACGCGGCAGGGTGCCAGGTTGAGAGTCAGCGAGCGACAACGTGCCGGCCTGTTGCTTAGCTGAGGTTCACGTACATGCGATTTCTGGAGCATTTCCGCCTCTTCACAGAAGGTTCTGGGGGCACGCTTCTCAGAGACAACTGCCCTAAACCCTAAACCCCCTTAAATTACCCTAAACCCTATTATCTGAATTCCTCCGCTCAGCGCGCCTGTCTGCCTCTGTGAAACGGATAAGGCCGAGAGGAAGGAATTGGCCGGTTCTTGTACAAAGATCCGACTCCCAGGAGATGTTGCGAACGGGATCATCTGAAGCGGTTATGGTCCATAATACTACATGCTACTCTACTGTACTCCCATGATGCAAAAGAACACTAGAGTATACTGTAGTGTTAGAATACACCATGATAATGTAAAATAGTCCTATGTTATTGTCTCATGCTACGACGTTACGACGATGCTACGATGCTGGCAGGACCCATGGTGTCGGCACCGTCATGGAATTTGGCCGTGCGGCCCTTGTAAAGCTGTGCGGGGCGGCAGTTGCTGGGACAGTTTAGTGCCTTGAAGCACAAGGTACGGAGGGTGGGGCTAGGAGTCCACGAACAGCAGGCTGGCTACTGAAGCTGCCGCAGTAGACCGATCTGCGAAACATGCTTGTCGATCAGGTCCGCTTCCGAAGAAGGCGGGGACAGGTGAAAGGGCACCTGAAGCTTCCGAAGACACAGGCCAGAAGCTCATTAAGACCAGTAGCAAGGCTGTTGCCAGCTTGGAGAACACGTCTTGGAAGCGTATAAAAGGTCTGGGGTATCACTCTGCGAATTCAGCCAATATGCACGGTTCAAGTTCGGTTGGTTCCTCCTCCACCGCATCACGTGCAGACAGGGCTGCATCGCCACGGCTGAGTCGTAGCAAGGTACGCAGGCTGTCCAGGTGGTAGTGAAGCCAAGGTTCAGGAGCTGTTTTCGAAGCGCTTCGATCGCAACTCTGGCAAACCCCACGGAAGTGCAAACATGTGGACAGATGTCTCGACAGTGCATGCTGTCGAACTGTCAAAACATCATGAGAACAGCGGTGGTGTTTTCCCTAAACCCTAAACCCCTCTTGCTGTGTTCAAGTTGATCGATGTGTTGTTTCATGGCGACGAGTGACCATAACTGATCCTCACACCAGTCCAGTGTTCTGGAGTCCGATGTTATTTCGAGTTTTAAATGATAGGCCTCGTGGTGAACTGGCACAAGTGAGGATCGATCTTTGCCTCTTTTCACACCGACCTCGCACCTAAGAACCTCGCCTGGCATGTCCGAGTTGTGAGAGCGTAAACCCCTCTTGCCCTGCTGAACTGAAGCAATTCCGGACATAGATCGCACTGCAGTGATTCGCAGCACCTTCTTTGCAAGTCCTCTGCCAGGTACAAAAGGCAGTGGTACCAGTGAGTAGCATCGAGCGGGCCCTTGTGCTTTTCACGTATGTGCAGAGAAAGGCATCCAAAGCTCGAAAGCCTGGAGATTCGAATGCACATGTAAAAAGCTCGCTGCAACACGAAACCATGCGGAGATTTCCAAAAAGGGGACCCTTAGATAGTACTCGAAATGGTACGATCTTTATTATAAGGACCCCAAAATATGGTACCCCTAATCTTCGGAAACTTTCATGTGCATCCCGTCCTCGAACCTTGCAGCATGTGCGACCTCTGTGCACGTCAACTCTGTTCCTGGCAGTTGCTGCCATGCTCAGCCAGAGAGGATGCTGCACCCAGGTGCACAGTGGTTTGGAGCTAATGGGTGCTAGTTCCAATTCCCACAGCAGTGAAGGCAGAGCAAGCGATAGCATATTCAGACCAAAATCATTGTCGAAAGCTTTGCATTCGCCTTGCGGCATGGACCAATCCGGTGTGTTGCTCAGACAGTTCCCGAACTCACAGCATCAGGATCCGCGTTGCTGGAACTGCAAGGGGATACCGAGAATGGCCGAGCTTCACGACTCCAAGTTCCACGCGAGCCACGCCACAGCGTTCACTCGGCATCGGATGCCAGTCAAAGGAGCTTGCGTGGCAGCACAAGGAGAATGTGCCCGACTCTTCAAGTTCTGTCTGGAGCTTGCCAGCGGCCTTTTAACAGGAGTGAAGCTGATGACGTGTCCGTTCCGTACTGATTATGCTCTGGGGACGTGCATCACACGGTCTGTTCGAATGTAGAGTCTTTTAGAACAAGGTGTCTGCAGCTTCGGACGACGAGCGGATACCACTGCCTGTCCGCGTAATCAGCTGCTTGTCTCTCCTTGTTAGAAAGTAGGGTTCCGGCTGGAGTATCATGTTTTGACATGGTGCCGGCTATGTTATGACATTAGAGCAGAGAGTGGCTGGAAGATGGGGTGCGAAACCCAAGGCGAGCACTTCAACGTCGAACCAGTTTTTCTCTGGCGACTTGCTCTGAGTCTCGTTGCTGCGAAGCGCTGAGATGGATTCTCAATCACACAGCAGGACAAATGGACCCCTTCAGGTTCACAGCCGCAACAAGCAATGCGCCTTCCAAGGTACTTGTTATCTACCTCGTCGTTCTTCTCTGTTTCTTCAGAGGCAAGGAAGAAAGACACCGATGTCGTCATCGCATCTGGGATTGTATGCAGGAGGTTTACAGCCAGGGGAATGTCTGCCCGACAGACTTGCAGGGTGTTGTTTGCTACGTGTTCAGCATGTCGCTGAAGCAGCCTCATGTATTTGCCAGGCGGTGCCACGCCTTGCCCGCAGCCCACGATACTATCCGTTTGAGAAGCTGTGTCATGTCTGGGTCTTGGGTCTTGACATTTCAGGCCCGCAAGAGTGGGTGACTGGAGAGACCGGCGGTTACTACTGCCGGGAGCTTGTATACGCAAAGCGCCCTACACCTGAACCGTAAGCCCTACACGCTAAACCCTAGACCCTAAACCACCAGGCGCCGACATCCAGGGCTGCCGCCCGGCCGGGCAAGGCCAGTTTCCGATATGCTGGTGCCCAAGGCTCCGAGCTGCCTGTAATATAGGGGGCCCTTCATAATTACCTACAGTATTTTGGGGGGAATTCCTTGTTATATTTATGGCATACTTGGCCCCAAAACCCTATTCTAATTATTATGGCCCCCACACCCTCAACCCGTCTAGTAGGCCTAAAAGCAATCCTTATAGACGCCTTAGAAAGGAACCCTATTCTAATTATTCAGGCCCCCTACGTTACATCTCTCCGTGTGTGCTCTGTATGTCAGAGAGAAGAGGCGGCTCTGATCCGTAGTTTCCGAAGATTTGGGGTACCTTAGGGTTGCTTTAAAGGGTTACTATAAGGTTACCATAAGGGTACCTGTAAAGGGCTCTATAAGGGTTTCAATATAGGCTTGAATATACAGGTCCGATTGTACATCAATGGGTCCACGAAATTTTCGTGAAGGGCGCGCGAAAGGAAAGCAATATTGAGCGCAAGCTTTTGGGTAGCAGATCTGAGCTATATAACACATAGAGCATAGAGGCAATGCCATCGTAAGCTGTCATTAAGCAGGCGCGCGGGCCCAACTGCAATTCGGAGCAAAAGATCCACGGCAGTCGTTGCGAAAGACGGACCGACGTTTTCAATGTGATGGCCCACTGCTTGGAGTTGCTCTGTGCAACCTCGGCCGATGAAATGAGCCCGAATCCCACACACCGTCAAACAACACCGCCAAACCTCCCCGGACCCTGTCAAATCTCCAGCCTCAACTCCGAACCCTAAACCAGGCTGCTACTACAACCACCACCACGACTACCACTAGCACTGCTAGTACTAGTACGAGTACTACTACTACTACTACTACTACTACTACTACTACTACTACTACTACTACTACTACTGCTACTGCTACTGCTACTGCTACTGCTACTGCTACTGCTACGACGACGACTGCTACTAGTACTACTACTACTACTACTACCACCACTTCTACTACTACTGCTACTACTACTACTACTGCTACTACTACGACGACTACTACTACTACCACCACTTCTACTACTACTGCTACTACTACTACTACTACTACTACTGCTACTACTACTACTACTACTTGCTAGTGCTGCTGCTGCTGCTACAACTACTACCACAAATAGCAATAACAATAATACAACTACTAACGCTAGCACTGCTTCTGCTCCTGCTACTACTCCTGCTAGGCGTCACATTGCCAATTGATCGCAGTGTTTGTTTGTTAGATGCGTTTTGCGGCAAGTAGCTTTCGTGCGCGTTGTGCAGCACCTGGTCGGTGTTGACTCTTGCATGTTGCAGACATGTGAGGGGCGGAAATCGCGGGTAACTCGGACTATTGAACAAGATGATGGTTGATGGAGAATGTTCTAATTTTTCGTTTACAGTAGTAAGGCCGTGATAGGAAACCCCGTCGTTGCTTCTACGCTGGCCAAAAGCTGAGAAGTCGCAAGCACATGTTTGCACATCTCTGGAAATGGACTCTTCGCTAGTGCACTCATCGGATTCTGTCGCGCTGGAATGAGAGTCCTGGTACTTCTCCATAGTGGCTCTGGGCAGGGTTGGGAAGAAGGCCATATCGAAGCCCTGTCTGCCCCAGTACTACACATGCAGCAGAGGCTATTGTACAGCATTGTATATAGTAGCATGCAATAGTAGAGTATCCAGCATAGCACATCGCAGAGTATATAGTACATCATACTTCTTCTTCTTCAACCGCAGCAGGAGTGGTCCGGCTAGCGTGCGCCTGCAAGAACCACTGAGGGTTCCCGGCCACTATAAGTGGCTTCGGCACGAGTGCCCATAGGGCAGGGGAACTAAGAGTGTCGAGACACCATAACATAAGAGCAGGCTCGACAGCTGGCGAGCGCCGCCAGCCTGTTGTGCAAACGTATGTCGATGCGACTGCAGTTGGACAAAACTGGCAGACTGGCTTATGCAGACTGCGAAGTGGCCCATAGCTCTACTGCTCTGTCAAAAGTAGTGCAGCCGCTAAACTACATTTGACCACCCAGCTCTTGAGCCATACTGCTTAAGTTCCAAGCTCAGTCGTCCAGTTGGTGAAGATTGATCACCCGCTTGACGATCTTCGCTGGAGTCACCTGTTGCTGCTGAATGAGCTTGAAGCGTGTCTGCAGTTGGTCGTTCAGGCCTCCATCTCCTCCAGAGCTGAGCATGCCATGACCATTCGAGCTTGCTGTTCCTGAAGCTGAAGCTGCATGCGATGGAGCAGATGCGCGAACTGCCATTCGATTGCGAGGGGTTCCATCTTCAGGTCTTGAAGCTACGTGTGGAGTATGGGGGATGCTTGAGCTCAGGGCCACCTCATAAGTAGCTGGGTTGGATGCTGCTGTATTCGGCACAAGAAGTAGCAGGTATGCACACCTTGAAGCTTCTTCGAGCTGTGCAGCAGTGGCCTTTTTTACTGGCTGAGCATCATCCAGAACTAGACGCTCCGACCCCTCATATACCAAGACCCGGTAGTGGCCTGTCGAGAGATGCTCCCCATGGTGCGTGATGCATGCTAGCAGCCTGTAGGAGTCCCACCTTGTTTCCAAGGTCGCATGCCCCCGAAAACACGGCAGGAGCAGAGCAGTCGGTAGCCGGTAGGCTGCATGATTTTTGCCTGGGCCACTCGCCGTTAGGGTGGCACGAGGCAGCTGAAGAAAGATCCACTGTGGGGGAAGGTTTAGGGCATGTATGGAGGTTTGTTGGGACCATCGATTGATCAAGGTTTGAATGCCCGAACCGCTGGGGTCAACCGCGCTGAGAGAGAGGCATCGAAGCACCCCGCCGTCCAATCTGCGAATCTCTCCTTCCATCGGTTTTCTTGCACTCCAACTGGACTGGCCTACGGAGTTAAGGAGTTTGGGGTAGAGGAAATCCGCGAGTTCGACAACATCATTCTGAGCATCTGGCCTTTGCCATCCCAACATGGAAAAGCGAAGCTCTTTCATTGCACTCAGCGTCGCCCGCGGCTCTGCCCGAAATGCTGGCGGGAGGATGTGCCTGTTAAGGTGTTTTTCAAGAATGGCAATGCAATATATGAAGGAGTTAAGGTAGCAGTGGTTATGTGGATTGTGAAGGCTAAACCTCGGGACAAGATGGTATTGATGTTGTGGTCTACGGCAGGGGTCAGCAGGCAAGTGGGATTTGTAAGGCGGGGCGCTAGTGGAGAGTCGGGCAACAGTGGCGGATTTAAAGAAGGCTTTAATGCCCTTGCTAGGGGGATCTAAACCCTTAGTGGTGGGAGGGTGAGGAGTATCTGGCCTGGATAAACCATCTGTGCAAGCTGCTGTGCGAACGGCTGTTTCTGGCGGTCGTCTCGCTTCATGCTCATGCCCACTAAGTTCGTGATCGCATTGCCCATAAGCACACAAAAGCTTTGATGGACTTCGTCTGCCACCGCGCTCCTTAGCGAAATGTGTAGGTCGAAAGTGGCTTGCTGATGACCCTCGTCCTCGATTCTCCACATGGCCTTCTTGGATTGAAAGCGATGAATGATTTCGCCCGTCATGTGCTCCTGGAGTTCGGTGAGGTGGCGAATCATGTCGTCGTGAGTGAGCGCTGCCCGATTCTCGTTGATCACCAGTTTCCGTTGCGATGAGCTCCACTTTTGGTACGTCCAGTGGCCCTGAGCATTGATCCAGCCCATCTGGTGGAGGTCTGCTCGGCCTGCCTCTGTTGCAACCACCTTCTGTGCTCGTTGAAGAAGTTCCTTCAGTAAGCAGTTGACCAACACCGTCCTGAGGGGCGAAGTCATGCTCGGCTCTTGCGCCGGATTCGCCATCTTCTCCCGCCAGGTGCGGGCCACTTCCATAAGATTGGGTAGCAAGCTTTTGCTGTCCTGTCTGAAGAAAAGCACAAAACCCATGTCTTTGCGGACATCCGCCAGAGCCTCTTCGTGTTTGAGGACTAGTTTGGAGAGTATCTCCACTTGCTGATCCATGGCATTGCCCGTGCCCTGCATGTAAGGTGGGCTTGGTTGCTGCCAGTGACTGTGGTACTGCTGGTGATGGTACGTGGGTCTCTGCCATCCCTGTCCCTGACCCCTCAGCCTCTTGCCGGATGGCTGAAAGTCCGGAGCTGCTGGCTCCAGGGCATTCGTGGTCCCGCTGGGTTGAGGCGGAGTCATTCCGGATGGCATGCAATGGGCGAAGATGCTGGCCTCCAGGTCTGCCGTCGTTCTCGACATGCTGTAGATGCAGTCCTCGTTGACAGTATTCGACGGCAATGACGAGTTGATTTAGAACGACACACTGTGTAGAGTGCCTGCCCGGGGCTCCAACCACACTTCCACACCACCGACACGTGCGACCGCGGGTCAAATGACTCTTAAAACTCTTGCTTCTAGTTAGGGCTTGCGGGAGGATGTCGGGGTGATGCTGGTGGTGCACCTTATTGTAATGTTGTCTGATGTGCTTGGGGTCCATGATCCACATGTTGCAAATGACACAATGTTCGCTGAGGAGAGCCTTCGTCTGTGGACACGAAAGTCGCTTCTCCCACTGTTGCAAGTTGCTGTGGAAAGCTGTCTGCAGAACAAGCGGAAGGGCATCTTCCGCCGGTGTGCGACCCTTTTTCTTCCCCCTGGACGGTAGCTGTGGCTGAGTCGCCGGAGGGCTCGGCCGCTGTGTCCTTGGGCAACCTAGGGTATGCATCAGGTTTGGGTGGGCTGAGTTTGTGGCTGTCCCCCCCTAGAACCGGACATGAAGCTTTGGTGATATGAAGCTTAAGTTGTTGCCATTTCAGGAAGCTACGATGGCACAGCTTGCATGTTGGCATTCCTGCGACTGAGTGTTTGACCGCATCAAACTCCACGCTCTGCTCGGATTTCTGTGTCCTCGCTGTGGGGTGGTGCAGGGCTACGTGTATAGCAAGGGCGTGTGAAGTGGAGGCAAGATGGCTGCAGTGTGGGCAGGGAATCTCGGCCGTTTCCGGAACGGCAGTCCTGGTCGACTGGAGGCAGGCTTGTAGAGCAACCTGCAGTTGTGCCAGAGCTTCATGCACTGCCTGATTCGCTACTATTGTAGCGCCCCACTCGGCATGTGCGGGGTCACGCGTGTGAAGCAGGTTTTCGAGCCTTTTAAGGATGGCCTCTCCTGGCTTGAGGAGTCTGGCCGCGGTCCAAATGGCCTCATTGCTCACATGGTTGAGATGGGCGGGCTGTCGTAGTATGGCTCGGATGTGCCTGATAGCTAGAACACTGAGGCGTCTAAGTCCCTCGTTAGTGCATCCCACCACTTCCAGCGAGTATAGGAGGCTCGGGCTGATGCATGCCTGCCATAGTCGCAGTCGGTGCCGGGCGGAGAGTGCACCTTTGCCATTCAAGACTTTCCGGATGATTTGGTACTTATGCTGGGCTGCCTCAATTCGGTGGGAAACATTGAGGTCCTGTCTGTTTTTGTAAGCTATGACAGTACCCAGATAAACATGGGAAGTTTTGATGCAGAGTGATTGTGTTCGTCCGAGTACCGAGAGCTTCAAGTAGGTTTTGCCCTCTTTGACGTATGTGTGTTTCTGAAGAAGGGCAGCAGCCGCAGTGCCTTTTAGCTCAAGTAGTAGGGCTGTTTTCTGGTAGTTGATCTCAAGCTTAAAAATGGTGAGGATTTCTAATAAGAGTTCGATGTCTCGAATGGTTTGTCGAAACTCGGATGCATCCTTAATGGTCCAGCATCCACACCAATCATCGGCAAAAAGCGTGATGATCGTTTGTAGCCAGGTGAGGCTTCGTTGCTGTGCCAACCCGAGCAGAACCGCAGCACTATAGCTTATCCAAAGGATGGGTGCAACTCGGCACCCTTGCTTAATACCGTTCGTGGTGACGGTATGCCCCACTGAGTCTTTGACTTGGTAGTGATAGCGGGCGTTTGTGTGGAGTTGCTGCACGGCAGCAACAATGTTGGCCGGCAGGCCCTGCTCAAGCAATGTAGTATACAATTGATTGCGGTCCACTTTGTCAAAGGCTCGCGAAAGATCTAGCGAGAGACAGGCGCCCCCGACACAATCCTGCCGCGGTCTGCCCAGGCGCCTTGTGAAGCGATTGGATGCTGTGTCGGCCAGGAGAAGAGTCACAGCCTCGAAATGTTGGTGCACGCGAAGGATAGCATCTGCACAGCTACGGCCCGGGCTATAGGCGAATTGGGGGAGATGATCGAGTAGCGGTCGAAGGTGATTCTGGATTTGTTTGGCAATGAGGCCGGCGACTATCTTGGGGTACGGGGGCATTAACCCAATCGGTCTTAAGGCGGAGACTGAAGTGGGAGGTTTGGATGGTTTGGGCAGCCAAACTACATGAGTGTCTTTCATGTCCTCATCTAGCCTATCCGGGGATCCTGCCTTGAAATGGTGGTTCAAGGCCTCGCTGAGGGGCTCATAGACCACCTCCGCGCAGTGGCTCCATACGATGTTGGGGGCAATGTGTGATGGCACTGCCTTCCGTGTTGGGAGTCGGGTGAGCTCCCACCAAATGTCCACAGCATCAAACACTAGGTCCTGGTGTGTTGCAATATGTGGCAAATCATCCGGCAGGCTTGCAAAGGTTTCTTTGCCAAAAAGCAACACAGCCTGTAGCTCCTGTTGTTCGGTCAGCAGGTGGCCCTCCGCATCCTGGAGTCGTGTGACTGCTCGGGTGGGCTTAGGGCCTAATCTTTTGATGACTTGAAAGAGTCCCCTGTGATCACCTTTAAGTGCGGCGGCCTCGGCTTGCTCAAGTTGGGCTTGGTGGAACTCCACCTTGAGCTGCTTACTCTGCTGTCGAAGGGCCTTCGAGGCACGCTGGAAGGCGGCTAAGGCTCGCCACTTGCTCCATATGTTGGCCAGGGTGGCCGGACCTGGAGCTTTCATGGCTCGGTAGAGAGCCCAGGTTTGTGTGGCACTTGCACGGTAGCCTGGGTCCGCGCTGATGCGCCGATCCGGTTTCTGCTGAGGCGGGAAGAGACGACAGGTCTCCTGCAACAATATGTTGTTTATTTCCCTGTGCACGTCTGTGATAGTGTGATCCTCATATGGCATTGCATGAACCCTGGAAGCAACCGCCTGCTGCAGTGTTTGGGCAATTGGCTGTTGCAGGCTTATGGCTGCATGAAGACCTTCACTATCAAAAGCCTGTGTTGCACGTTTGGCCTGCTGCTGCAGCTGGAAGGGCCTCATTGGCAGCGTCGCCTGTACAGGAAGGTGGTTTGACAGTCTATCTCCCGCAATTGGGAATTGCGCTAGTGGAGTTGACTGCTTGGCTCCCGCTCCTGCATCTTTGATCTTAACCACAATGTAATCCAGTTGACTGGTAGTGCTGGTATTGAAGAATGTATGATGTGGTCTGGCGTGCCAAGTGTTAACAGCGCACAAGCTATAATCTCGAAGGATCTGCTCAAGAGTGGCATCTTGGTTGTCATGTGTGGTGGGATGTGGAGTAGCGGGTCCTACATTAGGGTGGCACTGGGAGAGGGTACTATTCATATCCCCTGCTATGATAATGCTATGTCGAGCCGGCAGCGAATCCAGCGCCTTTTGGAGAGCGTGCCAAACTTTGTTTCGCAGAGTTTTGTTCTGGGAGGAGCTGAGGTGGGTTCTCCACACATGTTGATAAACTCCAAACACATTGACTGGGAGCTGGCTTTTTGTGTGGGTGGCACGCACCTGAAGCAGCCTACCTTTGATATGATCTTTGGCGGTCACATGCTTAAAGGTTTTTCGGGAGAGCAGGATCATCACTCCCGAGTGGGATCCAGGGGCATCCTCTGCTTCTTGTCCCGAGCTGTGAATGCAGCACCACTCCCCGCTACAAAAGTCCTGGGTTTCTTTCCAATGTGTTTCTTGGAGAATGACTAAATCCCAGTTGCCGCTAGTCGAAAGCCAAGCAAGAAGTTCCTGAAAGATCCCTGAACTTAATCCCCCCACGTTCCAACTGAACACTCTGACATGTGGCAGGGTCCTCTGTGTAGCTCCCGTCGGCCGTCTGTGTGCCTTTGGCAGTGGTCTGTGCGAAGGGTGGGAGATACTTAGTGCAGCCAATGCCTTCCGGGTGTGCCATTGGCCTTTGTACATTGTACCCTCCTGAGGTGATGCAAGAGCTCGTCTGCAGGCTCTGTTGTATGCTCGCTTGGCTTGTGCATTTGGGCTTGCATGATTAATTATGTTCGGTCCCCTGCCTGGTGGCGCAGAACCACCGTGCTTCCCCGGCACATGGCCAGGTCCCTCCTTCGTTGTGGCAGCGAAGGAAACCCTCACCCCAACCGTAGCTTGTACAAGGAAAAGATGATAACCCTTAGGGAAAAGTCTACGGTCTCCGGACTTGGGACCGGAGCGGCTGAGTGATATTGTTGGCTTCGGCCAACAGCAGCGATTCGAGAAAGTGGACTGATTAGTTGCAGGAGGTCCAGTGCTTCGTGGCTTAGGGTGCTTACTGGTCTTAGGGGTCCTACCCTGGGGCTGTCCTTCCATCTGGCATGCTCGCTGGTTGCGGGCTGCGGTTGCCAGAGAGGCTGGCCTGTGAAGCTTATGTTTGGCTCTGGCTTTCGAGGTCAGGACTACCGGGCCTAGGGGGTGCAAGGTTGGGAGGAGCTGGAAGTCTTTGGTGCAAAGACTGCGCGGCCTACCCTTGCTGAAGTGTCCCCGCCTGTCAAGGATCGTCGGGTGCATCGCTGTTCCCGGAGTGGAACGTGTGCGTGGCCCGAAATTCATATTCGGACCATGAGCGTAGCCATTCACCCGCACTGGTCGTCTCCATGTGTTCGTCTCCTCGAGGAGGTTGTGCATGTGGGTCCGGGCCGTTGACTGGCACTGGCCTAGGCGGGCCTTGTGGCACATATCCAGGGTGATTCTCGGGCAGAGGTCCATCCTGTATTTCATCCCTGGGAGTCCGGTCACAAGAGCTCTCAGCAGAAGCCATGCTATCATGTGCAGATGTCTCGCCATCGCTCATAAGGTAATTCACCGAAGCAACAGCAGAAGAACAACCGCCAAGAAGCGAAGCCACCCAAGGACCCCGAACAAAGCACCCCCTCAGGGCTTCTCTCAGCTGCGAGCCGTGGGGCTTAGTACATCATACAGAAACTAGATCATCATCACCACTATCAATCACCGCCAGTCAGAATCACAAGCATACTTAATCACCCTCACCGTCATCGCATCCTCATCGCGCCAACATCAGCAAGTCAAGTGAAGTCAGCGTGAAGCCCTTAGGCGGCCCGTTTAGGGTGCAGGCAAAAAGTTGATTTTAAAAAAGCAAGTGACGCAGGACATTTACATTCAAAATCTCTCATCTCACTCTGGCATTGGAAAATGCGATGAAAGCATTCACATGCGAGAGCCATTGATGTGCATGTGCTGCATATGTCGCCCAACCGATCAAATGGTTGAATCTGGAGAACACTTGTATTGGGTTTGGGGGTACTTTATGCTATTACTCTATTTTCTTAAGAAACCCTAAACTTAGTATAGGTCAATATATTAAGGCACCTATAGTAGGTGAATTGCCTCTCCACGTGTCGTGTTGATGGCCAGTCTTCGGGATCCTGCAGGTTGCCAATCCAGAACATGTCCTACAAAACGATTCAACGGAACGCTTGCAATGTAACTGCGAGTTTCTAGTGACGCTTCAGAACTTCAGAAGGCCACAATTTGCGTATCGGCAAAGCAGCGAACACTTCGATTCCGGTCGTGTAAAGTTTCATGCCGCGGGGGACTCCAATTAACGTCTGACGGAGGACCATTTTCAAACCAGCAATGTGCATTGTCCAATACCCAGCAGCAAAACATGCCACAGGAGTGACCAACGTGCTGAAAAAAACTAAGCCGCTCGCCAACGAAACAGCTCGATCTCGAAGTTTCCGACTGCTTGAACAGAAACTTTTCGAATCGACCGGTATGTGGTTTGCATTGTCTATACCATGTTGTTTGGAACCATCTGCTGATAGCATGCAGCGTCTGTGCTTCAGTTGTAAGTATCACCGAAAGCAGCTTAAAAGTTTGCTGAGCATGTCAAGAGCTTCTTGCCGAGATTTTGCTAACAGCAGCGTGTCATCTGCCAATCATAAAGTCAAGCAATCGCGAGGAGACCATCGTTGAAATCGAAACCACGGTGACCGACTGATGATCTCCATGCTCACATCGCTGATTGCAGTACCGAGCAGAACAACCGCGGACTTAGTGCCAGTACACACCCCTGTCGTACTCCAGCGTTGATGTCAAAGTCACGCCTCTTGATTGTACTTCCTGCAATTCGGCCAGACTGCTTGTGATACGCACCTTGTAAACACCCAAATCATGTGATCAGACGCCCTGTGGTCACGAAGCGTTTTCCATAAGGAAGGCCAATGTACGCGATCAAAAGCTTTCGACAAACCCAGGCTAACGATCCATAGTGGCATGTTGACGCTCGCTGTTTTGTCGATGATCAAATCAGCGGCAAGCAAAAGTTCTTCCAGTCACCGTCCTGGTCGGAAGCCATGTTGTTCTTTAGGCTGCACATTCTTCAGTGGAACTTGATGCGGGCTAAGATCATGGAGCCAAAACTCTAAATCAGAGACTAGTTTCGCGAATGCCTTCTTCGCAATCATGGTGCCATGTAGACGGACAATCCCGTGTATGAAACACCCGGTTGCATGGCGGAAAAGATGATCACCAGCATCACCATCAGCCACCATCGTCATCAACATCATCATCAGCAGCAGTTACTATTAGCACCATGTGAGCCCTACGCACTAGAACATGAAGTTACCAAGACCCCCAAACCCCCAGACCCCCACAACCCAAGCAATGACAAGAAGCAGTTCGACCAACGATCAAACACAGGTGTATCGGGTACTACTACTACTACTACTGCTGCTGCTGCTACTACTACCACCACTACGACGACGACGACTACTACTACTTTTGCTGCTAGTAGTAGTAGTAGTAGTAGTAGTAGTAGTAGTAGTACTACTACTACTACTACCACTACTCCTAGTGCTAGTACTACTAGTAGTACTACTACTACGACTACTACTAGTACTAGTACACTACTCCACGACTACACTACTACACCACTACTACTACTACTACTACTACTACTACGACTACTACTTTGACTACTTACAGGTCCCGCAAAGGGCAGAGCGAACGCACCACGAAAGGAAAGACATTTTCCGCGAAGGAACCAAATCCAGATGAAGGTATAGTGATCAAGTCTCATATCGACCTTCCATAAGGTCCGTGTTTGGTTGACACGAAAGCTCTTCAGTAGGTGTGTCCTCTCTGGTGACAGTTAAGGTCAATCGCAGCCGGGGGCTCGTGTCGATGATGTGCAGGGATTGATCTTTCGTGACTTGCTACATTCCTTCTTGTTTGACTTTCGCCACCGATTTTCGCCAACGAAAGGTGCTGGATTGGCAAGGTCCCAAGCAAAACGATAGGCCGGGATTCGCACATAGAGCTGGAACAAGTTGTGGTGCACATGTGTGTATGTGCCTGTTTGTGTTTTGGAATTGAAGGTCACGGAGTTCAGGCACAGCCGACCATCACGGTGGCCAAGCCCGTCCTTCAAATGGGTGGTTGTCAAAATTATGGTCCCTTTGGGGGTCCCTAATATAGTACGGCACCTAATAGAACCATAATTTTGACAACTACCCAAATGCTTTTCGGTGATGAGTTTGGAGTTGCGCAGTGATGCTGAGGCCAGGGTACTACGACCTTCGGATGATGAAGGATGGCCGCTTGCCTGAAAGCCACAGCACAATGACGTCTGGTATCTTGGCAAAGCTGCCTGAAATGGGTGTAGTGACGTGACCACATGGTCTCCTGCAGAATTCAGCAAGTGGCAGTGCGGTTTTTGCATATTGCAGAGTAGTATATGGCTCCTTCAGCAGTGCTTGTAAGTCGTTCATGGGTAACCCGTCTGGCTTCGCTCGATGCGAGGCGAGGCGGTGGCATGCAGTGCTCCGATTAGCACCTGCCTGAGCGCCTCACGCGCTAATAGGGGAGTCACGTTGCCGTCGCCAATCTCAGGTAAGCTTCCCGGCGATCCACGGTATGGTTGTAGCGGACAGCCGGAGCCCCCAAGGTTTTTTTTTTGCTGAATCCCGCCACTTTTTTCCCTTGGCGAGGTATGGTACAGCCAAGACTTGCGATGCTGCCCCCCATCCGATTCGCGAAACACAGTCTCATGGCGGCAGCTCAACGGTTTCACATCTTGGAACCGTGCATCTGTTTGGCCTGGACGCCTTGTGGGCAGGTATGTTGCTGCGGTCCACAAGGGGTGTGCCACGCAAGATGGTAAGGGCACCTACGGTTGGCCGGCTTGTTTGATCGTCGTGCATCACCAGAGAAGACAATCGTAGCGGCAGTGCTCTGACGAAGGGCTAAGAGATGTCCTGCATTTGCCCGAAGACTCGTGAGTGTGGAAGTATGGCAGATCGTTTACATTGGAGACGCCCCGCCCATTTAGCTGGCCTTCGGGGCTAGCTGAGTTTCTTAGCAACCGAAGTTGCACCAACCATCTGAGGGTGGGCCCAAAATCTACGCCGCTTTCGGGGCCAAACCCTGCCTAGAGCTGGTTCTGGCAGTGTCAGACGTATGAGAGTGGTGTTTCAGACCGCTCTGGAATGGAGAAACGGGTCTGTAATGATCCGCTTGATGCTCGCCTGCTGGCTCTGATGGGACCCGTAATGATGCACATGTGATGCGCCGAGCGACTCCGTGTGGGTCCCCCATTGATGCGTCGTCAGACTATCAACATCAACATCAACAACAAGAACTAGAACTAGAATTAGTACTAGTACTAGAACCAGAACCAAAACAACAACAGAAAGAAAAATGACATTAAACATACCATAAGCACAAAAGAGCAAAACAACAAAATACCGAAACCACAAAAGACCAAAATAACAACAGTACAATAAACAAAATAGCACAAGACCAAAAGAACAAAATAACAAACGACCAAACATAAATGACAAGACAACAAAGAACAAACATAACAAGAACAACAACAGCAGCAACAACAACAACAATAACAACAGTAACTCATGCACTCGCCCGCAGGCTCCGATTGGGCACCCAATGATGCTGACGATGCTCGCTTAGTGACTTATACAGTGGCTCTGATTCGAGCCTAGCAATTCACGATGGTCGCTTACCGGTTTCCCGTCAGGGGCTTTACTGCTTCTGTTCATTTGCGTGCTTAGGTCAGGGCAAAAGATTCTAAGTCTCGCGAACATCGGAAGCATGTCCGGGTCTGCTTGCATCGGCGTGTGCGCTTACTAATCACAGGGGGGCACGCAATAAGGTTACGGGCGTCGGTGTATGTTGTGAGATCATACATATTGTTTGTTCTGGGCACAGGCATGCGAATGTCTTGAACATCACAGAGAATCAAAAGGTTGTCTGTTGTGAGATCAAACATCAGAAGGGGTGTGACTTGTTTCGATATGTGCGTGGTTTGCGACCATCACGGCGCAATTTTCGACGTTTGTTTGTTCTCCGCTCACACATCACGGGGGGTTTTGTTCCGGGCATCGGCACGTCACTGTGGTGCGATCACACATCGCAAGGGGACACGACTTGTCGTGTGCATCGGCATCTGCATGTGGTGAGGTCACATCGCAGGGAGCTCGTCTTTCTATTTGCATCGGCTTGCGCGAGTAGGGTTTGCTGCAAGCATTGCCGTGTACGTGACCGCCATCGCAGTGGGTGCGATTTGTTGCGGTCATCGGGTCAGCGTGTGTCCGTCGTGGGATCACAAGTGACAGGGGTAACGGTTTGTTCGGGGCATCGGCGCGTGAATCCTGCGAGATCATAGCTCGCAGGGGCAGCAGAATTAGGTAACTATGATCACACATCATGGAGGTACAGATGTTACGGGCATCGGCCTGTGTTTGTAGGGAGATCACGCATCACAGGGAGTCGAGTACGTTTTGATACGTACATTGGCAGCCATTGGCACATAAAAGGTGGGATCACGCATCCCAGGGGTACGTTTCCTCTACGTGCATCTGGGTGTGTATGCGGTGTGGTCATTCATCACTGCTTTCATCGGCATATTTATGTTGCTGCGATCACACAGTGCAAGGAGTTCGACTTGCAATTATCCACTTGCAACTTGCACCGGCATGTGTGTGATTTGGGATCACACCTCACGGTGGGTACAAGTACTTCCGGGCATTGGCTTGTACATTGGTTGCTCGCATCACAGCAGGACTTGTTCCGGGAATCGGCGAGTGAATGTCCAAAAAGGGCATTTGCCTATGACGGCACTATTAACACGCTTTGGGCCTCAAGCATCCTCCCGCACTGCTGTGGCTGAATGCTAAACTCCTCTGCGACGGCACTACCACCGTCTATGGTGATGTGGTTGGAGAACGGCAGGCAAGGGACACGTGCTGGCGGTGCACTTTTTCATTTCAACTTGGGGAGGAGGGGCTGGGAAGAAAGCTGGACACGGCAGCTTGCAGGGGATTGCAGGGTTGCAGGCGAAAAGAAGCGGCGTCGGATCTGTTCTTTTGTTCGAGTGTCCGAGGGGTTTCACACAAGCGCTCGGAAGGGGCACGGCCGCGCCGGGGGCGTCTCAAGCATGATTACAACATTGATGTGTGGTCGCAAAACATGCACGCGTCGAAGCAAATCGCACCACCTGTGATGTGTGGTCTCACAACATACAGACGAATTACACCCACCATGATGTGCGGGCGCACCACCTTCACATGCCGATGCCCGGAACAAATCGTACCCCCTGCGACCAGTGATCTCATACGTGGTCTGAATAACACGCCTACACACACACACACACGTGCCGATGTCCATAACAAATCGTACCTTATGTGATGTGTCAGCTCAACACATTAGAGCCCTTTGGTGAAGCTGTCAGAGATTCTGGTTCTTGAGTTTGACAGAATGGTTGCCATTGGTTTACGGTTGTCCCAGCTAGCAGACTCTGCATGCAAGCTCTTGTGCATTCATTTGGCGCCATAGCTTTGTGGAATGAGCCAGGTTACGCGTACGATGATGGTGTAGGACTGACTGCTGGCTGGGTTTCGAGCGGTGGAAACCGATTGGCATTTCTCCGTCTATGCAGGGCTGAAGCAGTGTCCGCCGATGACGCTCTACGAGTGGATTCTCTGCTGCTTGGCTTCAGTCTGGTCGCAGTATTACTATTATTACTATTACTATTACTTGCGACAGGCAAAATTACTATCATTAATATGATTGTTATTATCATACCATTATTATTATTTCTTTTATTTCTATTATTATGTGTATTCCTATCAATTTTGCTATTCTTATTATCATTCTCTTGGTGGCAGATTCCAGGTCCGGCGCAGGCCGTAACTTCGATTCGGTGGCCACATTCTCAGCCAGGGGTTAGGGTGCAGAACTAGGGTTTTGTTTGGCATCTCGCGTCGATGTCTCAGTTTGCAGCCGCTGCAGCAATTTGGCCCACACATGTGTGCACAAACCTGTTCAGTTTGTCTTCTTCACACAGTCATCGGACGAATATTCTGCCTGAAGCGGTTAGCTCCTGATCTACGTGCTCGAAACATTGATGCTTGCTCGTGAAGTCTGGACAACGCCCAAGCTTGATGTCCTATCCTGTGAGCATGACTGAACGGCCGGGGCTGGCATTCTTCCGCAGGCAGCGGCTGCATAGGCGCGTTCACCTTCCAAGCTGCCTGTCGCATGCTCTCCCTCTCTTTCTCCGTCTTCAACTCTACTGTCCTCACCTGCTTTCCTTTCGTTTTGATTCTCTCCCGCTCTTTCCCTTTTTCTGTCACTGTCTCTCAACGCCTCTCTATACAACTCCATCCCTCTCCCTTCCTGGGGCACTCTGCCTGTTGAATCGTACATCATCCTGAAATGAGCTGCACGACAGCTTCGTTGTCCCTGATACATGGTTTTCGTTGTGTGTCTTCTCCCGTGCGAGTGTGGGGGGGAGGTTTGTGTGCCGGAAGCCCCAAAGGCCTGTCTGTGCTTGTTTTCTGCCGTCGCTGGAGATATGAAATCAAGGCAGTTGGCCAGCCAGCATCTGCTGCCTAACAACACAGACAAACTAGCACGGTTGTGACATGGCAGCGTGGCGCCAACTGAGCGCACTTGCCATTGTTACAGCCATGTGCCATGTGCCGCGGTGTGGTCATCGTCCGTTATGCTCGGTCTTGGGCACTAGCTGTGGCTTCAACCGTCCTCCAGGCTTCCAGTTCATCGAAGCGCAACTTGTAAATGCAGGCTGAGTTCTTCCTAGCCTGCCTCAGTATGTACATCAAAGCTGCATGGTGCAGCTATTGTCGCATTGAGGGCCCCTTGCACAGAGCACTTGATGATGTTTTCTGGCGAGGATGAGCAAATTCGATTCTTGCAGCCACATCCCCCTCAAAAGCAGCCTTGCAGGAGGGTCGCGGGATGGGTGCTGATGAGCTACATTCTCTACGGAGCCGCAGCGCGCTGGTGCTATGTGCAGAATGCCCCACCCGGAAAGGGTGCACAAGGCCCACGACACTCAACGCACATGCAGAACTGCTGGTCGTATCCGACACCGACCGATGCCTGCAGGTCGAAGAGTTGGCATCTCAGCACGTCTGTTGGTGACATGCATCCGGGTCCGAGTGTTGCTGTCTGTACATGTTTGCACTCTGAAGGAGGCCGTTACGGCGACTGCACTCCTACCCCTGGCAGCAAGGGCGGAAGAGGTTGGAAATCCAGATCTTTCGATGTTCTTTAATCATTCACACCTGCTCCTCCATCTGCAACCTATCAGGTTTCCTCATCGAAAACGGCAGTCGGTGGTGAGCGCGTCACCCTGAAAGGAGGACTGCAGTTTCCGAAGGCTTGGAATGCCTGCGCGAAGTTTGTGAAACCTGTGGCTACTTGTGCTCCCAAATGGCCCGGTTAACTCACCGCTTGCCCCAGGCTTCCTTTGGCTTGCATCTTGGCAGCACGCACAGTAATCAGAAGCAGCGATGACATGCGAATGTGAAGTGTTGCGGGTCATGGAGGCAGGTTTACGGCGACGACACCGCAGAGCGGCTGACACAAATGGCTATCGAAGTCGGCTATCGGAACTTCTTTGCATCCGCCTGCGCCCCCAGTTTCGTTTCTCGTCCTCGTTACGTCGAGCCCGCACTTCGGGCGAAAAATTCCGAGGTTCTCGCGGGCAACCAGAAAGGTTTTGCACGTGGGGTGAAGAAGTCGGGGATTCCACGGGAAGAGCTCTTCATCTGTGGATCGGTGGTGAGCAATCTCGTGCAGGCCAGGAGGGAAGCACTCTCGTTTTGTGTTCATTGCACTCTGCCCCACGGTCTCAGCTGGCAGGATTTTGAAGATGCGCTGCTTGGCTTGCATTGTGAAGTGCAATAACTGTGGGTGTGCACGTCTTGGTCTGAAATGTAGGGGCTGGACTTGACTTGAGGTATCTGACCACGAAGAAAGGCTGTGCGAAGAACTTGGAAGCCTTTGCCGAAGGCGAGTTGTCAAAGCTCTGTCTTGTCTTCCCGTTGCTGCTTACATGATGACTTCTGCTGTCAGCCATCCGGAAGTTAGCGAGACAAGGACTTAAATGAGCCTAAGCGCACATAGGGTGTCTACGCTGCGACAAAGTGACTATGTGAATATCTTTCCTGTGAAGGTGGCATCACAGAGTTGGACATGATCATGCGACTGGTCAGCATTTTGTGTTTCTGCCTTGCCAGACCTTCTTGCTCATGCTCGGTGAGATCAGCCGCGCAGCGCGGCAGTCGCCACCAGTTACTAGTTTTTCTGACCCATCGTGTCTCGAGTGACATGGTCCAGATCCTCCTTTCACTGTCGTTCCCACCACATCGGAGCAGGTTGGATTATCCAGCCAGCGACTGTGAGACCATCCGGGGGCAGTGGAAGGCTTTCGAGGTGGAAGATTCTGAAATGCCCTGTCGCCCTTTGCTAAGCCCTAAATCCCTGACCCCTCAACCTCAAACCCTGCGGTGCGACTTCTTCAGCTGGGCGGGTGGCAAAAAAACCTCAAACCCGAAATCCTAACTCCCAACCCTATACCCCGACTTAAACCCTAAACCCTAATATTATTCCTCAATCTAGTTGCAATACTAATACCCTAAACCCTGAGCCCTCAGTCCCCTGGCCTTGCCCCACAGGAAATGCTGGCAGCTGGCCAAACCAAGAGCCTGGCCGTCAGTAACTTCTCGCCGGAGCAGTTGCTGGGACCTTAAGCTAACTTCCCATACTAGGAGAGCTTAAAGTTAAGTTACTATGGTAGGGTAAGGACCTTAAGTTAACATCCGATCATAGGATAAGAAATTTCATTTACGTTAGCAGTTAGCATAAAAGGTTAAGGGCTCTTGTCAAGGAACTTATTTTAAGTGTTGAGACCCGTTCGAAGGGAACACAGCCGAAGTAAGCTCCCTTAATCGGGATCTGTAGTACATGATATGGATGCCATAATGAAGCAACCGTATTTACTATAGATCCCAATCCAGCCACCTAAAAACTAACTTCCTTAGCAAGAGCCCTTGACCTACTATGCAAGTTGAATGAAATTCCTTACACTATTCTGGGAAGTTAGCTTAAGGTCCTCACCCTACCATGGTAACTTAAAGTTAAGCTCTCCTATTGTGGTAAGTTAAGTTAAGTTCCTTACCCTATTATGGTGACCTAAATTTCAGCTCTCCTACTATGGGAAGTTAATTTAAGTTCCTTAGCAAAAGCCGCTTAAAGGATCATGGGACTTAGCAACTAGGGCTATAATTGGGGTAACTATACTTACAACTACTTATAACCCCGAATAAGATGCTTATGACCTTACTTACTCAGTCCCATGATCCTCTCAAGTAGACCCTAAACCCTAAACCCTGTAATTCTCTTGAAGGAACCCTATAGATCCCTAAGGAGCCCTTTAAGGAACCTTGCTTACTAAGTCCCATGACCCTCCAAGCAAGGTTGGACTGCATCTTCGCAGACCCGGTGCCTCGGCTGGGAGCTTCGAGAGCTGCTTTGACCACTCTGCGATGTGTCGTGCTATTACATAGAAATGCGTATGCTCAAACCCATAAGCACATATAGAAGTGGTGTTACCATATAAAATATAGATATGCAAAAGATGTATCAGAAACCATGCGACTAAATGAATTCATAAACGAAAAGGGAAGTAAATAATCAGATACCTGGAAGTAAACCAACAAATTCACAGTTCAATTGACAAATAACAGCAAAGATAACCAGTTAGACCAAATAAAGAAAAGAAGCACAGCCATTGAAAAACAGGACCGTTCATGTATAATTACATGCATGTGTATGTGCATATGTGTATATGAGTAGATGCGTATGTGCATATATGTGTCCATATTGTGTATTTTTGCATATGTGCAAATGTGAAAATGTATACTGCGCATGTTATGTATAGTATGTATAATACGCCTTTATTACGTGTACTACGCTTTTTGCAAATATGCGTGTAGGTATATGAGAGAGGGTCTTATGTCCGACAAGCATTTCGGTTGGCACGACAAGAAACGCCCGCGCACCGACAGGCAAATCTATGGCTCCGCGAGAGGTTTTGCTGGTGCTGTCACATATCTCTTATATCCTACACTGTACACTATATATATATATATGTTATATTTATTTAAATATTTATTAGTATTTCCGTTGTACTATGTCTTGCAGCGCTCAACCCTCCATGAAGCCCTAAACCCTATGCCTCCGTGCACAGAACAACAGTCCCTAAAACGACCCTTTTCTGGGAGCCTGTGAGGTGTCGACAGCATCTAAGGGCATGGCATGTCCCAGCCTTTGCGGCACATCCCGGAACATCCCTTTGGAAAGACAAACAGCCCCAAATACAACCCTTCTTCTGCGCACCTTGGAGGTGCCTCCCAAAGCCTCTCAGGAGCTTTGCAGGCATGCCACACCCCCCCGGACTCGGCACATCCCGGCACATCCCGGCACATGCCTCCGTGCACAGAACAACAGTCCCTAAAACGACCCTTTTCTGGGAGCCTGTGAGGTGTCGACAGCATCTAAGGGCATGGCATGTCCCAGCCTTTGCGGCACATCCCGGCACATCCCGGAACATCCCTTTGGAAAGACAAACAGCCCCAAATACAACCCTTCTTCTGCGCACCTTGGAGGTGCCTCCCAAAGCCTCTCAGGAGCTTTGCAGGCATGCCACACCCCCCCGGACTCGGCACATCCCGGCACATCCCGGCACATACCGGCACATGCCTCCGTGCACAGAACAACAGTCCCTAAAACGACCCTTTTCTGGGAGCCTGTGAGGTGTCGACAGCATCTAAGGGCATGGCATGTCCCAGCCTTTGCGGCACATCCCGGCACATCCCGGAACATCCCTTTGGAAAGACAAACAGCCCCAAATACAACCCTTCTTCTGCGCACCTTGGAGGTGCCTCCCAAAGCCTCTCAGGAGCTTTGCAGGCATGCCACACCGGCACATCCCGGCACATCCCGGCACATCCCGGCACATGCCTCCGTGCACAGAACAACAGTCCCTAAAACGACCCTTTTCTGGGAGCCTGTGAGGTGTCGACAGCATCTAAGGGCATGGCATGTCCCAGCCTTTGCGGCACATCCCGGCACATCCCGGAACATCCCTTTGGAAAGACAAACAGCCCCAAATACAACCCTTCTTCTGCGCACCTTGGAGGTGCCTCCCAAAGCCTCTCAGGAGCTTTGCAGGCATGCCACACCCCCCCGGACTCGGCACATCCCGGCACATCCCGGCACACTTTCTCATTGGTCTGCCCCCTCCAAAAGCCCTAGTCTATTCTGTCTTTACGCCCCCGCGAACGCAAAACGCAGAACAGACTAGACGTTTTCCGGACTGCCTGCCCCCTCCAAAAGCCCTAGTCTATTCTGTCTTTACGCCCCCGCGAACGCAAAACGCAGAACAGACTAGACGTTTTCCGGACTGCCTGCCCCCTCCAAAAGCCCTAGTCTATTCTGTCTTTACGCCCCCGCGAACGCAAAACGCAGAACAGACTAGACGTTTTCCGGACTGCCTGCCCCCATTGGGTGGCTCGTCAGGGAATCTTGACACTCCAAATATCAATATTTACATGCACGTCATGTTTTTTGCACGCATCATATGCATGTATATAGATTTATATGTACATGTATATAAGAGAGTGTGGTTGCCGATTTTCTGTTTCAGGCGGCTGCGTGATGCGCTCTAATCAGGCGGCTTCAAACACATTGTTTCCTGTTTCCCAACTCCTATCGCCTTGCCGTCGATTGCTTAATTCTTGGGGGAGTATGATCCCAAGGCTGAAGCTGAAGTCACCACCAAGAACGGAGTTTGAACTGTTGACCTTCATACACCTCCGAAGCCACCTGGCTCATGTTCACGCGTCGTTTAGTGACCCTTGAAGAGGGTCTGCGATGCGTGTTCCGGGGCCCGGCCTTGCTTCATGTGCTTGAAGGCCAGATGCGCTGGCGGTACTTCTGCTCGTCTGTCTTCCGCCAGCTTCTGCCTTTGACGCAGGTCGCGTGAAGTTGAGCGCTTGCGATTGGGAGGACGAGTTGGAGGCTCGGGTGTGCGAGTCACCGGGTTTGTTGATGTATTCTGTTCCAACTCGTGTCGAGGTGACGCGAGGTGCCTCCACTGCAGCGCGGTTCTCAGATTCTTGGACTGGGATGTACGCTATGCTTTGCTTGCTTGCAGGTTCCTGCGGAGAAGACTCGCGCAGTAGAGCGCGTCTCTTCGGAAGGAGCTACTTTGTTTTACTGCAGGCAGGGCAATCGTTTCGACCGAGAATGCAACAGTTTAAAGATTGCACAGGCGCGAGCTCATGGAACGTGCTCCCGTGCAGTCCCCTACGGCACCCCCTGTGCTGCAGGCTGCTTTCATTCGTGTACCAAGAAGCCCGTCTTTTCTCTGGTTCCAGCTTGCTTGTCACAGGCGGACAGAGAAGATCAGCGTGACGGGGTTTGGGCGTTATCTCGTAGTAGAGTGATGATTCTGTGGAGGCAGCCTGTGCTCTTCATGCTTTCAAGCTTCCCGTCTCAGCAGGAGCGGGCTCTCGAACCTCGACCTGGTTTTACTTCCCCTCGTGCTCCTGATGCACCTGAGACGGCGGGCAACGGCAACCCATTGACTTCGCGGTTGTTGTCTAAAGTGACAGGAAGGCCTAACCCTGGTTACGGCAGTGGCATCCGACGGCGCGGTTCCTCAGAACACAAAACCTGACAGAGGCAGACTCCATGCATGCCGGTCCACATGTTGCTTTGCTATGGAGGCAGCCACCGTCCGCAGAAGTTCAGAATGCGGACTCACCAGCCGCTCAGGCTCCCTGGTGTTGCGCGTGGAGATTTTTTAAAAGCACTCGCAGTAGGACCTTGGCGGAGCACTATGCCAAGTTCCGAGGCCTCAGCCTTCAGCTCAGATTATAATTTCTTTGCTATCTGCGCACTCTTGCTCTGTCCAAGGCCCCTCTAGATGCGAGGACTTCGTCATGAGCTGTGCCGAGCATGGAGATATGGTACGCGCCTCAGCCCGACTCAACGTATGTATATCAACCGCAAACCCTGCACAGGAAAATCAAAGCATCCACACTGCTCATTTCCATGCTGAGCAGTTTCACTGGATCCTGTGTCTGTGGCAGGACCTGGATTCCACACCGCAGGCCTTGCCAGCAGACGCCACGGTTGTTTTCACACCGAAGGCAGCTTGACTTCTCACAATTGCCTTTCTTGGAAGGAATTACAGACTCAGTGTCCACCTTCGCTAGGTCTCTGCGAATCCATCCAGTGTTGTGCCGACGAAGGCCTTGCAGAAGCATGAGGGCTTTCGCTGCCAGCATTGCCTGCGACAACTGTGCGACGAAAGTCCGGCTGCGCCGAACAAGAAAGGAGAGAAAAGCTGTAGGAGTTGCTGGAATGTCTGTGCTGGACTCAGGGTCCACGACCTGAGTCTCACTGCACTGCGCAGCGACCTGATGCTGAGCGATGAACACATTGCTCAGTTCTTCTGCAGCGTGGCCGCTGCCAGGGCAGAAGCTGGGGCTGCGGGTCCGCTGGCTTTCACGAAGGTCAAGCACATCCTCCTCGACTTCGCCGTTGGTGCATCCACGTGCGGTCTCCGAAGATGATTCCTGCATGCCGCTAGGGTTGTGGTGAGAAGACAGCTTCGAAAGTCCGTAGTTGCCATACTCCATTTTGTCATGCCCGAAAGCCCTATGCTAATCATTTAGGCGCCCATTGCATTACTGGCATCGTAAGTAATAGGGTTTCCCATCAGCAAGAGGCCACTTTTCTGAATCACAAATTCCAAACTAGATTTGGTAGGTCCACGGTTTGGAGTCGGGGCCGCAGGGATTGGGCTTGCTATATAAGCCTCTGCCGATGTCGGGGCGACCGCGTGCTTAATGGGATTCCGTTGCGCAAGCCCTGGCAGCAGAATCACAGAAAACAGGGTGCTCTCTGGTTGCCTGCTGACGAGTTCTTGGAAAAACCTTGCTTCAGGGCTTCTGCTGGCTTGCTTTCGTGTCCGGCGTTCTGTTTTGGCCTTTCTTGTCAGGCGTTGTGTTTGGCCTTTCTTGTCAGGCGTTGTGTTTGGCCTTTCTTGTCAGGCGTTGTGTTTGGCCTTTCTTGTCGGGGTTGGGTTGTTTGGTTGTCGGGAACACTGTTTTGTTGTTCTTGTCGGGGTTTAAGCCCCCTGTCGTAGGTATATGTATATGTCTATGCTTATGTCTATGCATTCATGTTTTGCTATACACATATAATACGTAGAAACCTAGATAAACAAAACAACGAACAACTAACTACAACGGACAAACAAATACGCATGTATGCTGCATGCATATAAGTATGTGTGTGTATACATACATATATATATATATATACATACATACATACATAGCTATATCATTGCACATAGAATGCAGATATGTGCTGTATGTGCATGCATGCTGTATATATATATATGTATACACACACACACACTTTACAACAGATATATGTGGCTTCAGCATGGCGAGAGGTAAAACATAAACGTATTCATACAGAAGTGTATGCAAGACACTATCATCTTGAATTTGACCGAGGATGCAACTCCTCCGGTTCTCAATCAGCTCCCCTACTCCTTGAAGACCTACGACGACAAAGCAGTGCGTGAGAACGGCAGACGCGACTTGACTCGAACATCTGGTCCTGCCGCCAGAACCATACCCTGCCCCTAAACCCTCAACCCTCTACCACGGCCTTGACCCACTCCAATCCCATTCGGTTTCACTGAGCCGACCTGTCGACACATGCCTCACATAGAAGTGTGAACAGGAATGCAGTACCTCCTTTTGTCGAGATCTGCCGTACATACTTGTGGCTTGCGATGCGGGGGCCAACAAAAGCCCTGGACTCCCAGACCCTCCACCCTAAAGCCTAAAGTCTAAAGCCCGTCGAAGACAGATAGCTCCAGAGTCTCCAGTAGATCCACGTGTATAGAGGTGGCGGCCCTGCCTAACAAATCTTTCAGCAGTGCAGTGCAGGAGGCCAAAACAGCCTAAAGCCCAAAGCCCTGAAACTGTCCCCCCAAAACCCCAAACTCCAAAACCTGGTCGTGCTTTTCGTTTGCGACATGTTGAGCAAGTGTTACCGGGGTCTTGGAAGCTGCAACGAAAACCGGCTGAAAACTGAACCTTAACCACTTCTATTAAACCCACCCCAAAACCCTAATCCCCCAAACCCGAAACCCCATGTTTGCGAGTGTGCTTGTCGAAACCGCAGAACCTCAAGCCCCAAAACGGCCCTAGCACACCCTCAACCCTAAACCCTAGCGAATTATCTCTATATCTCTATGTACCTATATCTAATTCCATATCTATACCTCTTCCTATATCCAGACCTATACCCATATCTGTATCAAAACCTGTATCTAGATCTATATCTATATATCCCTATCTATACCTCTATCTGCATCGACGAAAGACCCCAAAGAAATCTCGCGCCTAGGCGGCATCCTGGTCCAGGCCTGGGGTCCCCTGGGCTCTGGGAGCTTGGGCATCGGTGCTTCGAGCCTTGGCCGCCCTAAGAATCAGAAGAACGAGCGTAACTATAGGGGGGTACCTCATTTTGGGGTCCGTATAAGGATCCTATTCAGGGTGCCATATTAGGGTCCCCAATTTTCGGAAACTAGAAGTGAAAGCATTTACAGTGTAATTACAATCAAGCAATCATTCCTTCCAAGGAAGTTGGCCGAGGAGATCGGTCAGAAGTACGGCAAGACCGCAGCGCAAGTAGCCCTGTCCTTTGGACAAACTGTCAGGGTTGTTCAGGTTAAGGCTTAAGCGCTTCGGGTTTCCTAGTTCGAGGTTTGGGGTTTCCGGGATGGGAGTTAGAGTTTCGGGCTTAGTCTCAAACCGCAGGGTGCTGTGACGCACTCTCCGGTCACCAGTCACCTTCCAGCATGACCCCTAGATTGATAGTTTCTGGGAGCTGAGCACGCAAAAGACGTCAACCAGACCTCTCCACAACAACCGGTCTGAAGCACTCCTGAGGATTCTAGATGCTAGGGGATTTGGGATTATACAAGTTGGTTTTTTGGCTGAAGTTCTGCTTATCTCACGGCGATGCCTCATGGTGTTTTGGCTGCAGCAGTTTTCGAGGCGTTGGATCCTGCAAACGGGCGCTACCTTCACGACCCAGTCCAAGAACAAGGCACCGTGTTCGCTCGAGAAAGACGAACGAAAGAACAAAGCGAGATGTGCCTTTCTGCCTTAGAAGAGGACCATAGACTATATACTATACACTAGACTATATCTATACTATATGCGAAAGTTTATGCGCAGAGGACCACTTGAAGGAAGACTTGCAGATCTTCGATTTCTCCTTGGCTGACGAGGAGGTTCTCCAGCTGAGTGATATGAGCACCAGCGTCGCAGGACAGAGTCTGCCGAAGTAATGATAGTAACGGTAAGAGTGATATCAATAGTAATAAAAAACAATAATCGTAACAATAACAAAAATCATCATAATGTCATCGTTTTGGGAGTTTTTCTGGCAGAACACTGCAATTTGCGAGCGTCAGAGCATCGTCAGTGCTCTGCATGCAGGACGCCTCAGCGCTGTCGCAGATGTGGCGGTGCCAGTCGGTGGTGCGGTGGGGGGAGCGCTGCTGATCTCTTCCGTCCTGGACTCCTTGGATGCGAAGGGCGATGACAAGCCCACGGACGACGCCGTCAAGAAAGCCACTCTGCCAGAGCCGGAAAAGAAGACGAAGAAGAAGAACGAGGATGAAGATGAGGATGACGATGATGGTGCGTTATAGCGATGAAAGCCCGCTTCCTCTTAGCTGACTCTCGCTGACCAGACTCTAGCTGTCCTGCTCCAAAGTTGGAGATGTCAAGACTGGCATCTCAGAGCAAGTAGATGCAGACTTTGGGGGAGTCGAGCTTCAGACCAGCATGTGCGAATCGCGGAAACACTGCAGGCTACCAGCCGCACTTTGCACAATCTTGATGGGGGTCGCGGCTCAGGACGGCAACGTCAGGATTGCATGGCAGCCGGCAACTTTGCTAGCAGTCGCTGTGTGTCACGCTCAAGGCGCTTCAGCCTACCCGGTCAGATGTGTCTTCTGTAAACATACGTAGTATATGAGACTGTATGTATGTATGTATGTATGTATGTAGGTGTGTATGTGTGTATGTGCATGTATGTACGTGTGCACGTACGTGTGTGCGTACGTCCGTATTTGTGTACATATATACACCAGCATACATTGTATTACACAGCTACAAATACAAGTAACCTCTTGCTACAACTATAAAATGGATGATAAAAACAAGGTTGTGTTTAATAGTAGAAATGACTCTGAATCCATTAATCATTATGTCTTTCCGTTATCCACATTCTTGGCACTTGGAAAAGCTCAGGTCAGAAGCGATTTCGCATCACGAACCACTGCAGCAGACCAAGTGCAGTAGTGGATTGTGTTGCTTTTGTTGGTTGCTGCTGACAATTGACAACACGCTAATGCAGACGTTGATGATGCCGAGCAGGAACAGCCCACGTCGGAAATATGGACGGGACTTCGCAGGAACTTTCCTTATCAAAGCCGTCGAGGATGACAACGGGACTTCAGAAGATAGGTTCACCCGACAGAAACGGATACTGAAGGATGCGGAAGCCATTTGACTGATGCTGTTTAGCCACAGTATGCTGCTTGTTTTCTATCTGGGAATTTCCGTAAAACAGGGGTACCTTATTGTGGGGTCCTTATAGTAAGGATCCTACTATTTCGGGCTGTCAAAAGGGTGCTGAAGTAGGGTCCCCGATTTTCGGAAACTCCCTTCTAACTTCGGAAAGCAGAGCTAAAGCTGCAAATCCCGGAACCACGTCGCCTGCCGGCTCCGTAAGAGCGACCTATAAGGGTTCTATAAGAATAGGGGCCTTGATAATTAGAATAGGGTTCTGGGGCCCATTATGCTATTCTTGTAAACAGGAACCCCCAGTACGAACCCCGGTACGGTTGATGATATACATCCTGCATTACCTTAAGGACCCCAAGCTACGGGAAGTATGGTATATTCCTTATTATGGGTAATGTGTAGTCATGTCCGAAAAAAGGCGAGGAAGAAGAAACAGAGGAACAAGCACAAGAAGATGAAGAAGAAGAAACACGGACACCGACAGGGCGGACGCTGCAACATATCTCTTGCAAAGGTCCCAAGACAATCTGGGTGCAGTCGACCGGATTGAATCTCAGACGTGTGGTTTCGATTTCTTTGACAGACAGTAGATGTATCATTTTTTGATCATATTTTTGATTCTGTCCCGACATAGGCACCAAGATGCCGTATGATGCCGACATCGTGAAGATCGGCTCTGGTGAGTAGGAGCCTCGGATTTGGTGTTGATGAAGAGAAGTCTGTGGGTCCTCGGTTCCTAGGTCGTATGTGTATTCCATTCCGCGAAGAGGGCTGCCTTCTACCCGGTTCTTGCCGAAGGTCCCGCCGAGGGGGTTTTCACACACAAGCTGGCCCGGTGTGACCGCGATGGCAGGTTGGGTGCGACGAAGATGGAGCCAATTGCGCTGTAGTGGCCTCACATCAGAGGGCTTTCAGGCGGAGACAACCCGTGGCAGCAGATGGGTTCGTGAGGTTCAGAGCGTGCCGCCCTGTCCACCGCAAGGCAGGCGCCTACGCATGGCAACCACCAGTGCAGCAGAGCATGTGTTTCTTTCCTGGACTCTTATGTGTCTTGCAATCACCGAGGCTGTAGCCCGCCTGTGGACACAAAGCCCGAAACTGAAAAGGTCGTGGTTTTGTTAGATTCATCAGCCACCATCTTCCGGCTTTGCATCTGATCCCCCTGCCTCGGAGTTGGTTCCTTGATGCAAGAGCCCTGGTTCGTGTATGAACCAGACACCGATGCAAATGCGACTTTTGACATGCAACATCCATGAAGCAGCCCATGTGTGCTCTAGTGATTGCCCCTAAACCCTAAACCCTAAACCCTAAACCCCAAACCCCAAAACCCCAAAACCCTAAACCCCAAAACCCCAAAACCCTAAACCCCAAACCCCAAAACCCCTAAACCCAAAACCCCAAAACCCTAAACCCGAGGTTTGAAGCATCCTTCGGTTGCGCTTTCCAAGCCGAGCGGCCGAAAGACTGTGCGAGTACCGGCCAAGGAGTGCAGGATGCCAAGACTGTTTCATCTGGGAGTTTCCGAAAAGAAAGGGGGTAGGGTACTCTAAACAGGCTCCTTTAAAGGGCTACTATAAGGGTACTATAAGGATGCCAAGACTGTTTCATCTGGGTGGTTATCAAAGTTATGGTCCCTCTTTGGGTCCTTAATTTAGTACGGCACCTAATATTTAGGGTGCCCAAAAAGGGACCCTAATTTTGACAACCACCGATCTGGGAGTTACCGAAAAGAAAGGGGATAGGGTACTCTAAACAGGCTCCTTCAAAGGGCTACTAGAAGGGTACTATAAGGGTGTTATAAGGGCTCCTTTAGAGGGCTGTGTAAGTGCTTAGAGTTTCCGAAAATTGAGGTACCTTATTTTGGGGTCCTTATAATCCGGATCCTACTATTTAGGGTACCGGTACTATACTGGGGTCCCTATTTTCGCAGACTCCCATGCGCCGCTTTGATCCCGGAACCCTTGAGCCCTGAACATCGCATGCTGTCAGGTCGTCCACACCTTAGCGAGCCTTCATCAGAGAACGCCGCCATCGCTTCAGAATGAAGCTGCATGCTTTGCTTGAGGTCCACGTACCAAGACTGGTGGGATGGCAGTGCGGCATCTCGCTCAGCGATGCTCGCAGTGGGCAAAGCTTCGTGGGTTGCAGTCCCTGCTTGGAGGTTGATGGCTGGACTTTGCCCTTCGACATCCTTACTTTTGACGGCAGCTACCATGCATTAAAGCTAGGCCTCTAGTGCTGTGATTTTGTGCTGTTGCAGGTGGTTGGAGCCTTCAGCCTGGGGTGAAGGCTTCCAGTGTCTCTGGGTCAGAGATGTGGCAGTACCATGGAATCTGGTCGTTTCCACCAGGGCAGCAGCTCTCAATGCATGGACGTCCTGTGTGCGAACTTGACAGTGGACACGTGCTGACCTCGAAGTTGATATTCAGTTGAGGGGAGCTACTTACAGGATCATGGGACTTAGTAACTGGGGTTAACTTAGGGTAACTATACTTATAACTACGTATAACCCCAATTAAGGAACTTGTAGCTAGGACGTGCCACATCTCCCAGGCTCTGTCCGCGAAAAGAATGGCTGACACCTACTGACCAGATTGTAACATGATTTTTTGGCTCCACCGAGCAATGCAAATAATTCAGAGCGTTCGCCCCCTGACCGAGAAGGTCGAAAGTGTGTACAGTCGTTAAGGAAGGAGGCGGCAAGTCGTAAAGGGCTGGCGCTGCCTGCGGAGACTCGCAGCTTTGCTGTGCCTGGCTTTTTTGCGACTGGATGGTGAGCGTCAAAGTGTGCTGAGAGACCAAAGGAGCAGCTGCGCACGGTGCTTCGGAATTTGAGTGGCCGAACAAGTCGCTCCACGACATCTCTGTGACACAGGTCGGTCGCTGCCGGCACAGCTGTTATTGAGCAGATAGATTCAGGCAAATCCGACGTGCACGACATGGCACCCCATCATGCTGTCTGGCAGCTACAGTGCATTGTGCAGCCGCACCCCACATCCGACCCCCAACTCTGAACTCGAAGGTCCCCGAAAGCCCGAGGCACGTCGTAGAAGAATTAAATCCACTTCGCATCGCATGACTCTTTCGGACTAGGAAGCCTGTAAGAACGTGCGTGCATGGAACAGCCGTGGAAAGCAGCTGCCCTATGTGCCGGCCTCAATTCCTCGGCTGGCGAGTTGCTGATCATGAGGCATGACTAAAACTTTTTTGTGACAGTTGTTCTTCAGAGAAACAGCTGTTTCCAGGAGAGATCATAATGTCGAAGCCGAGATAGCTATCAATCTACAATTTCTCAGGGTTGCTTATTCCTTGTTAAAGTTATGCCATAATATACCCCCAAAGCCCTGGTCTCATTTGTTCACGTCCCTAAACTACACCAACGGCTGCACTCTCCTGCAGTCTCTTCAGGACCCTGAATAATCAGTTCAATCTACCATTTAGAAATCTAGTACTAGTGTGATTTGACGAATGTTGCTTATTTGAGGGGTTTTGGGATGATAGTGTATCTTGGGGGTTTCTGACTGTAATTACAGTAGAATATCCCCCCAAACCTTATTCTACGAATATTTTTGGAGTCGCAGGGCGTCCGCATGCCCAGGTCTCCTCCTCCTAGTGGATTCGGCGAGACTTTTCGAGGCCAAAACTGCTCTAAATGCTGTAGGGCAGAGAAGTTGTGCATGGTGCAAGAGACATCTTAATTTGTGTGTATATATATATGAGTATTTTGCATGTGTATCATTATATACACATATGTGTGTGTACATATATATATATATACATATAGTACATGTATATATATGTATATATATATATATATATATATGTATATACATACATAGTACATATATATATATATAGATATGTATATATATATATATATACATACATACATACGTAAAGAGAGGTGCACGTTCAGCTCCGGAGACCTCCCGACTTTTCGTTCAGAGCAGGTCCAAGTTCTCGCTGATGTCACAGACCAATTATGATTTAGCAGTGTGCGATGTCTACCAGTGTATAGATAGATAGAAAGGTAAAATACATGTATATATATATATGTATATGTGTACATATATAGGTGAGTTTTTACCAGAGCTTACATCATGCCCGTCTCACGCGCTCGGATCGCTTCACGATGGTGGCTTTGCTTGCTGTTGCACTTGGCCTGTGGCCTTTGCTTCTTCGACTTCTTTGCCCAAAAGGAGCCTGTGTCCACCGTCAAGGGGGAGACCGTGAAAACGGGAAGCTACAACCACTTGAAGCTCTTGAAGCGCCTCCGAAAAGCAGCTGAAGCTGAGAAGTCGTGGAAAGAGTACTGCAAGGAGACAGGCTACAAGTCCACCTCGGACATGCCAGAAGATGTGCTGGAGCAGTTCGTTCTGAACCCTGAGCATCACACTGCGGATCGCTTGTCGGCATTCGCGCTTGAAGCAAGGCTTCCGAAAGTGGCCAGTGACTACGAGGACGATGAAATGGAGTTTGGTGGCTTCATGGACTCCAACCTTTATGGCTTGGTCAAGAGTGACAAAGAGCAGCAGGAAGAGCGTAGACAGCGTGTTGTCCAGATTAGGGGTTTCATGAGTGATCCTGAGAAGGCAAAACTGTGGCGACACTTTTGTTTAGAAGCAGAAGACCCGGACGACGAGGAGTCCAGAGCAGTCAGGGCCGAGATGGCAGCCAGAAGCGATCTGGGACGGCGAAAGACAGCTTTGGAATCATGGTTGGATGCAGAAACAGGGAAGGCGGCACCAGGCGGAAAGAAGTGGGGTGTCTAGCCTTTGAGAGATGAGCTTGATGCGTTGGAGAAAGGCCGGTCAGAAGGAACGCCTAGCTTCGACGACTCCGAGCGTCTGTCCTGTTGCTGGCAAAAGGGGAATGGCAAGCATCAAGAAGCAAAAAGCCGGTTTGAATGTTGCCAAATCACTCGAGCGGAGGCTGTGCCACTGCGGGACTGGCTTGGGGGCCTACAGGCAGCAAGCTCGGTCGGTGCATAGCCTGTTCCTGCTAATGCTGCTTTGGCAGATCCACGGCCATTCTGTAGAATGCTTTTGAGATGAGGAAATCCGAAACTTTCCATCCAGTTCGTGCTTGCCGACAGTTAAAGGTCCAGAAGTTATTCAAGGCTGATGGGGGCCCTGCCTGAGAATGGAAAAGCCACGTTATGACAGGACAGTGGGTTTCTTCTGTAGGGGTGGCCTGCGGCAGAAACCAGAACTTGGACAAAGCTTGAGCCTCGCAACTGCCAACAACTTAAGGGTCCAAGTACCGAAAAATCATATACTCTCCCAAATACTAAGCTACATAACTACCATCCGAAACCTAAGTACACAATTTTTGGGTCCTTTGGACCCTTAGGGACAAAGCAAGAAAATGCCAGCCCCAGGCTCGAGCCGGGCATGAAAGCACAGGGTCGCAATTTGCGATTTTCTCAGGTCTTTGTGCCGCACTTCCCGGTCGTGCAGGCGCTCTGAACTTGCGTTGTCTGTCACGTCTTTCCACACTCACGAGCAAACTTCGTCTGAAAGGCACCTGCACGACTTGGCTTCGCAATCAATGTGACCGGCGCAAGTTGTCAAGGTGGCTTATGGTGGCTTGTTGCATTGTTCCACGCCTCCCATGTTGCAGAAGCCCGCGCAAGTCTTGCTGCCAGGGCTCACTGTTGAGGAGCTTCTGCTGACAGAGGCTTTCGCTGACGTGAGCCACCTGAAGATTGCTTTGCAAGCGGACCGCGCTCGAATGCATCGTGTAAAAAACCATCACCGACAAGTCAGAATTTGAACTCTACGTGTGCTCAGACTCTTGGAGAGGACATTGGAATTCGTTGCCTCGTGAACACGTCACTCGAGGCGGTCGTGTTTTTTCTTCTTTTCTTCTCCAGAAATCGGATGTGTTGGGTGCTGCAGGTTGGAAAAGTTCACCCATGTACGATGGCTATCGCATCTTCGGCATCAGTGATCAAGCTTGGCATGCAGGCTCGATTGCATCACCGAGCTTTATGAGACGCAGTCCCTGCAACCATTGGGATGGTTTGAACATATTATTTGTGTGAGGTTTTGTGTGAGCGGAAGTGTGAGGCTGAGTGTGAGCGGGGATTCTGAGTGTGAGCTTGAGAGTCAGCGGGAATGCAAGTGGCTCATTCATGCTCACGCTTCCGTTCACACTCCCGCTCACACTGTTTGCTGTGTTTCACATCGAAAAAGTGTGAGCGGGATCCGGAGTGTGAGCGGCAGTGCGAGTGGCTCATTCATGCTCACGCTTCCGCTGACACTACCGCTCACACCTCCGCCCACACTCCCGCTCACACTTTTAGCTGTGTTTACAGCAGAAAAGTGTGAGAGGGAGTGTGAGCGGATCCGGAGTGTGAGAGGTAGAGTGAGTGGCCCATTCATGCTCGCCCTCTCGCTCACACTCAACCTCATATTCAACCTCACAAGTTGCGCCGCGCGGGCGGGGGGGGGGCAGGGCGTGCAAAGAATTGTGTTCAGGTACCCTCGGTGGATGGATTCCCAGGCAAAGCTTCAACCACGTGCGAGTGCGGACTTCAGGTACACGGTGTTTCCCAGAAACGAACACTTTGCAGCTTCTCTTAGGCTAACTCCGGACATCACCCAGTTGGACTTCCATGGAGGGACCGCATCTTACCAAATCGCAAGTTTGCAGAGCACGAAGTTTCCATCACATGCCCAAAGCCCTAAATGGTTCAGGTCTCCTGCATGCGACGTCTTGAAGATTGCGGAGCAGGGAATACGAGTCCTTGCCTTCCTTGCAGTATTTGGGTTGGCTGATTGGACCGGGTTCTCACTCAGGCTTTGGTGAATGACTTGGCTTCGAAGGTGCTGTGCAGCAAGGCTGCTTCGATGAGATTTGTCAAATTACGGTGAATGGCAAGGCTGCAAGTGACTCGTAAAGGTTTCTTCAGCTCTCGCTGCGCTTTCTTCAGAGGCGAGAACGAACACATTGCCTGCACATTCACTGCCGTGTTCTTGTGTCACTCCCCCAAATCCGTGCGACGAGGTTTCCCGGGAACTCAAGCAGCAAGTTCAACCATATCTTAAGCCAGCAGCCGCCCGGACCTCAACTTCTCTTTCTTAAAATAGGGCTTGGGGTTTACTAGGGTTTATAAGGGTTTAGGTGTATTAATAGGATTTAGGGTTAAGGCGTTTTTTTCAGGAAGCTGCGCTCTTTGCCTGCCAGGCCCTCCAACCTCCTTCCATCGATGGCGCCATCGATCTGGAGAAAATCTTCTGGAAGGACGGCAAAGCATTCCCAAATGGTATTATTAGTATCATGATGTGATAGCAGTTTATTTAGCATTATATAGCAGTATAGCATCGTAGTATTACAGTAGTCCTTATAGTTGCGGGCTTTTAAGGTTAGCCATGCGATGCAGTGCCCAGGGGCCTGTGGGCCATGTGTTTCGATCTTTTCTACGAGAGGCGTGGGCCCTATGAGGGTTTCGCAGTGCCAAAGTGTAGAACCTGCTCACTGCTCAAGAATGGTCTGTGCAGGTTGGACATGTGGACAACGACGTCGAATTCAACAAGGCACAAGCCTCACAAGCCTTAACGGGTGAACTGAGCACCAAAGAAGTAAGGTCCAACGTAGCCATGCACATTTACCTGTATGTCTCTGTCGCTTCTCTGGTTTCGGGGTGGAAGGCTTCAGCGCTTGACACGCGTTTGTGCTAAACGTTTCAACACTAAAGACTAAACTGTAAACCCCTGTAAACCCTAAGCCCGAAACCCTAAACAGGAAACATGTGACGCTGCACATTTATGACCTCTGACCCTAAACCCTAATCTGCTTAAAGCTACACGCTTATCACCATAAGCCCCAATCTGTCGTAAGCCCTTCCACAACCTTGTACACCCACGTTTACCTTGGTAATCTGTTGTAAACCCCAAACCCGAATCCAATGCCCAACAAAAACTAGTGAGTTAGATCTGTGCCACGAGTGCCGCCAGATTTTTGGTCTCTGGCATTCGTCAGCTCTAGACCCTGAAGCCCCTAAACCCTAAACCCTAAACCCTAAACCCTAAACCCTGAACTCTGAACCCTCAAAGAATTAAAGCCCCTAACGCCCGAAAGCCCGGAACCCTGAATCCTAAGAGAAACTCAACCCCAACAGCGCTAAACACCCTAAAATACCCTAAACGCCTAAACCCTGCAAGCCCCTAAACCCTGAACCCTAAAACACCCAGCCCCAAAACACCTAAAAACTCGAAGGTGGTGCAACAAAAACCCCACAAAACCCTACGAGCCCTAAACCCTAGAACCCCTAAAAAAACGCCCAAAAAACCCAACAGCACTGGAACCCTCAAAACCTTCAACCACCCCCAAAACCACCGGTAACTCCCTAAACCCTAAACCCTAAACCCTAACTCCCTCAAAGGTGGTGCGCTTCTTGCGCTCCGATCTTGGACTTGGTGCACTTTCCCTGCCAGCTCGGCCGGGGGTCGAGGTGCGGATCTCTGAAGGTTTAGGGTTTAGGGTTTAGGGTTCCCTTATTCTAGGGTACTACATTAGGGCCCCCCCTATTTTCGGAAACTCCCATTTAGGGATCTCTGAAGACAAGGGTGGTTTTTTGGTTGAATGGGGGGCTTTTTTGGTGCTTTTAGTCAGGTCCTTCGAGGTGTTGTTTTTAAAATGGCTGTTGCAGAGCTTGTTTTTGCATAAGGCCCTTAGCGTTCTTTGCTCTAAATGGATTAAGGTGCTCAGAGCTCTTTGTTGAAAATAGGGCTTGTGAGAGTGATGGGTCGTTGTTGCCATAGGAGAGGGTCGTATGGGTCTTGTGAGTTTTGAGGTCTTGTTATGGGCACATATCCGGCGCTTGATTTCGAGGTCCTTTCTGAAGGATCCTACTGGTTTAGGGTCCATGTTAGAATTGCGCTCCTTGGTTTTCAGAAGTCAAAGGTGCGAGCTCCGAAGTGGGATTTTGCTGTTGCCATCGGGGTGAGTCGTCGTTGGCTTCCGGAAGGAAGGGAGCGAAGCAGAACTTTGTTCGTGTGGAGCTGCCCTGCCTCCCGTGGTAGAACCCTTGTGCGGGCGCTGCGGAGGTGAAGTAGTACTTAAAGGATCATGAGACTTAACTAGGGTTACACTTAGGGTAACTATACTTATAGCCCCAATTAAGGTACTTATAACCTTACTTACTAAGCCAAGTCCCATGATCCTCCAAGTAGTGCAGGGGAGTTTCGCCTGCTCCAAGAGCCGACTGGACTTCAGGGCCGGGACGAGAAACACGGCCGAGGTAACCGGAGGGGGGGGGGGGGGTAGGGGACTATACTTCCTTAATTAGGCCTTAGTATGGGTATTAAGGCCCCCTATACCCGGGGGTGACAAGGGGGGGGGGGGGGGGCAGGACGGTCGCGAAAGCGGAGTGCTCGCGATGGAGGCTGGCTTATCCAGCCCCTTCGGGGTGGCCGTGCCTACTTGGAGGATCATGGGACTTAGTAAGTAAGGTTACAAGTACCTTAATTGGGGTTATAAGTATAGCTACCCGAATACTAACCCTAGTTACTAAGTCCCATGACCCTTTAAGTAAGGTCAAGGGGGCAGGCGTCGCAGGGATGATGGCCTCTCTGCAGCGCTGGAGCCCTGACCCGCACATAGGTCCGCTCAGAATCGTCGTCTCCCCTGCATCATTCGGGGCTTCAGCGATGCTGCAACTTCCGCGAACCCTAAACCCTGAACCCCTAAACCCCAAACTCCAAAACCCAAAGCCTTAAATCCCTAAAACCCTAAACCCTGATGCTGCAACTTCCGTGAGGTGGTGTTGCCATGGATTGAGAATGCGGTTTTCACCATGGCGATGAAGAGCTTCCATCTTATTTGTTTTCAGATTCGTCATTTGGGAGTTTCCGAAAATAGGGGTACCTTATTTTGGGGTCCTTCTAAAAAGGATCCTACTATTTGGGTACTTTTTTAGGGTCCCCTATTTTCGGAAACTCCCATCTCAGCTTCCTAGACATGGCACACAGACCCGCCTTTCTGCCTGGCCCCAGGTGCCACCGTGGACGTAAGCCTCATAGAGGCAGCGATGTTATGAGCCAGATGTGACATCGAAGCCCTACACCCCTAAACCCCTAAATCCCTAAACCCCTAACCCCTAAACCCTCAACTCGAAACCCTGAGCCTGGGAGGATCTTCACTTTGGCTTTTCCGCACCCTCAGCAGCGAGACTTTCAGGCCACCCATGAGAATCTGAGAGTTTTCCTGTGCAGAAGCTGCCGATGATGATGATTATGATGGATATTATTCGTTTTAATGCTTTATTATGGTGGTTATGATTCATATTACTCCGTTTTAATGCTGCTCATGAGTGTCACTCGTTTTCCTGTGTGTACTCTTCTGATTATTGTTTGAATGAAACAATGGATACTACTTGTTGTTATTGTGATTGTTGCTAAGAAAATAACTAATGTTATTCTCAGTATTGTTGTCATTGTTGTTGTCATCATGCTCGCTACTATCGTTTAGGTTTTGAATTATGACTACTAAGACTGTTCATGCTTGTAGTTTTACTATTGCTAGTACTAGTACTACCATTCACGACGACGACTACTACTACTTCTGTTCTGGCTATCATCATTAGAGATAGTCCCCCGCCTTCTAAACCCCAAGCCGCCCCAAGCTCATAGGCCCTAAGCCCGAAGAGCCGTAAAGCCTAAACCCTAGGTTCCAAAATCTGATTTCCCCCCTAGACCCTGAACTCTAAACCCCCTAAACCCTAAACCCTAAACCCTAAACCCTAAACCCCTCAGCCCTTTCAAGCTCCTCCCTCTTCCGTCAAGAGCGGATCAAGAGTTGAGAGAAAAACAGCCCGGGACCAAACGCGCCCGAAGCGTCGCACTGGTGTCAAAATGCCGGGAACTCGGAAAAGAAGGCGTCAGAGAGGGTTTAGGGTTTGGAGTTTAGGGTGTAGGGGGTGGTCCATATCATGCCATCCCAACCCTAAACCCTAATCCTTAAGCCCTATAATCCCTCAACCCTAGGCCCTGAACCCTAAACCTAAACCCGAAACATACCGACACGCTGAGGTTCAAGAACACATACCAGTCGGGCTTCCTGTCAATCCTCTACTCCATCGGCAGCAAGCCACTTCAAATCTGGGACAAGAAGGCACATGTGGGAGTTTCCGAAAATTTGGGATACCTTATTTTGGAGTCCTTATAGTAAGGATCCTACTATATACTTAGGGTACTATGTCAGGGCCCCCTATTCTCGCAAACTTCCATGTTGTTCATGCTCAGGAACTTCAGGCACAGCCGTCTAGAAGTGAGCGCAGAGTATGGAGGAAGTCTGAACGACGTGAGTTTTAGTGCCCCGGGCAGCTCATGCGGGAGTTTCCGAAGCTTAGGGGGTACCTTAGTTTGGGGTCCTTATCTTACTGTTCAGGGTACTCTATTACGGTCCCCTCTTCCCCTGTACATCAGATGATTCAACCAGCCCAAAGCCCTAAACCGTGAACCCCGATGCCAGGTCCGCAATGGGCACATCAAGCGTCTCACCGACTCTGACATCCAGTCGAGCGTGTTGGAGCGGTGTGCGCATCCTTGCCTTACAGTGCTGATATGGGAGTTTCCGAAACCAGGGATCCCAATATAGTACCCCAGATAGTAGGATCCCCATGAAAACTACCCCAAAACAAGGTATCCCTGCTCTTCGAAAACTCACATATCAAGATGCCGATGCCTTTTTGAGTTACGTTTCAGACGGCGTGTTCATCGCAGGAGATCATGGGCACCAATGTGAGCACCACCTACATCACATGCCCAGCCGATCCTTCGAAGACCTTGGGCATCAAGCTGCCTTTCTTGGCACCTCGGAGCAATGAGATGAGTTCGGTTCTGAAAGCTCCTTCAGGTGAGCTCAGTGTGAAGGTGTAAGTTAGCCTGACGTCTCCGGGCAGACGCCAAATTTAGCTAACATGGGTCGCAGATTGCGGGCCTATGAGGGCTTGACTCCGCTCTGATTCATGGCTTCAGGTCATGATCATCAAGAACCTGAAGAAGTACTTCACCTTTGAGGCCCAGTGCATAGAGCTACACAGTGCCGTTCATACGACCTTTCATAGTTTATACGTTTGCGTGACGAGGTGACGGTGTTGGACGACAAAGAAGTGCGGCGACGCTTCCGTGCTTCGAACTACCAAAGCACCACCAGGTCACAGGGTAGCTATGGTGACAGCTTAGCGGTTTGCGACGATCTATAGTTGTGGGCATCCCTGTCAGGGTGAAGCCGTTCATTTGCACGATGCCCATGAGGCTGGATGAAGGCTCCTTTGCATTGCAACGTTGCGATTGTAGATTTCTGTGCATGCGGGCTGTGCGTTTGCACACGATCTGCCTTGAACCCAGGTTGGAATCAGATGCTTGCCCAAACAGAATGTGTTTGTGTTTGTTGCGTTCGGACAGTGCTCGACTGGAGGCTCCCACAGCGCATGTCTTGGCTGACTGAGGATCCAGTTCAACTTGTCTGACTTCACGCGCCGTGCCTACGGCACCAACTACATCGAGACACTCCGCGTGCAGCTGCATGCAAATTGCCGTCGCTTTGCTGGTTTCGTCGTTCAGAGCATGCCCGACATTCGGAATCTAGCTGCAGCGACGCAACCTCTGAGAAACGAACCCTAAACCCAAATCCTAAACCCAAATCCCAAACCCTAAACCCTGTCTCTGATGTGTGGGTCTGGCCGTGAACTTGGGCAGTGCCACGAAGCCGAGTGCCGATCTCGCATGTTGTGTGATATCGTTTGCTGTTGTTGACCTTCTAATGTGGTTACCTCGATTTTGACACATGTGGCACTTGGCACACGGAAACAGGAGGTCGCTGTGCAGAGTGGTCCAGTACTGGGTAGTGGTGAGGTGGTGAATCCCCTATATTCGGGGCCTCCTGTTCCATTCCCTCCGCCAACCTGGTGTTCCTCCTAACCTTCGGGGCAGACGGAAAAGAGGGTCCAAAAAAAAAAAAACCTAAATCCTAAACCCTGAAACCGCAAGGCATCCGCCGCATCTACTTCAGCGACCGCTTGTACAGCGAGGAGGAACTCCCTCCTGAGTTCAAGCTGTTCTTGCCCGTGACTGAACTGCACTACTTAAAGACTCAAAGGATCATGGGACTTTGTAGCTAGGGTTCCTAAAAGGGCTGCTTAAAAGGGATCTATAAGAGGGGTCTTAGGGTTGCTTAAAGGGTCATGGGACTTAGTAGCTAGGGATATAATTTGGGTAACATGCCTATATCTGCATATGCCCCCAAAGGTACTTGTAATCTTAAGCCTCGATTTATTTTTTCGGCTCTTCTTGAGAACTGACCAAAAGCAGCCCACAAGTGGCCCTAAGCCCTATAAACCCTAAACATACCTAAACCCGACTGCAAGCTGAGGTGGCACAGAAGGCGCAGGCTCAGGCACAAGCGCAAGCACCGGCTCCAGCTTGAGACACGTGCCTTAGAGGGCGAAATGCCTCGGACTCACTCACCGAGTGATCTTTCACCGGATGTGACTTGTCATTTTGACCACATCTGTGGCGATATTGTCCTGCAGAATGCAGGTATTTTGGGCAGACATCTTCGAAGTATTGCTAAGATAGCTTTTTGCGAGGTCTATCACAACTCACGAGATGATAGTTCTTTGAACTTTCATGGTGCCACGCCTGCTGAATTGACACTATCTGGCTCTGATGGGGCTTGCTGAATTAACAGTGAGCCGAGCATGTGACGAACTATTCCTTGCCGAGTGACTGCCGGACCAAAAATCCGAGTGGAAGTCTCCTCGAGTTTGCTGGAGATCTTTTCCCCAGCTTTCTGCAGTTGCCAGCTGAGCAATCGTTGGGAGCGTGCTTGGCCTGTTGCCACCTTGCAGGTGGACTTACACCGTTGGTGTCGATGGCTGCAAAGACAGCCCTGCTGCTCCCACGGGGCACTGCGAGCTTGAAGCTCTTAGGCGAGGATGTTGTGCCAGGTCTGCCGCACTGCACGGGGTTTGCACGGGACCTACCCTAAACCCTAAACCCTAAACCCCTAAACCTTAAACCCTAAACCGTAAACCTTAAACCCATAAACCCTAAACCCCTAAACCCTAAACCCTCAAACCCCAAACGGCTTGATAGCACCTTGGCGCCGTGCACAGGCCATGAGGTGAACATCACCCAGCGGAGCAGCCTCAGCCCGGTCCATGTGCGCGCCAGAGCGGGGTTGAAGGCAGGGGGTGTAGGGTTTAGGGTTTGGGGCTTAGGGTTTAGGGGTTTACGGTATAGGGTTTAGGGTTTAGGGCTTTAGGGGCTTAGGGTATAGGGTATAGGGTTTAGGGTTTGGGGCTTAGGGTTTAGGGTTTAGGGTTTGGGGCTTAGGGTTTAGGGGTTTAGGGGTTTAGGGTATAGGGTTTAGGGTTTGGGGCTTAGGGTTTGGGGCTTAGGGTATAGGGTTTAGGGTTTGGGGCTTAGGGTATAGGGTTTAGGGTTTGGGGCTTAGGGTATAGGGTATAGGCATAGGGTTTCGGGTTTGGGGCTTAGGGTATAGGGTATAGGGTTTCAGGTTTGGGGCTTAGGGTTTAGGGTTTAGGGTTTGGGGCTTAGGGTTTAGGATTTTGGGAGGAGTTCACAAAGTCAGGGGTCTGAATGGGTTCAGGGACGATAAGGGTACTATAAGGGTACCTTTAAAGGGCACCCATTGGGTTCAGGGTTTCCGACAATTAGGGGTACCTTACTTGGGGCGCCTTTTCATCAGGATCCTCCTGCTTAGGGTACTGTATTAGGCAGCCTAAACCCTAAACCCTATACCCCATACGCTAAGCCCCAAACCCTAAACCCTAAACCCTATACCCTAAGCTCCAAACCCTAAACCCTATACCCTAAGCCCCAAACCCTAAACCCTAAACCTGGTTTTATCCGGCGCAGGTGTCCGGCGCCGCCACGGCTTTCGTCGCTTACAATGCCAGCGGCCTTCATCTGCTCCAGCCCTGGCCCTAAGAGTTTCAAGCTTTGGTGAACTTTACTAACTAGGGTTCCTTAAAGGGCTCCTTAAAAGGGATCTATAAAAGGGGTCTTAGGTACTTAAAAGGATCATGGGACTTAGTAACTAGGGTTATAATTAGGGCAACTATACTTATAACCCCAATTAAGGTACTTATAACCTTACTTACTAAGTCCCATGATCCTCCAAGTAAGGGTTTCAAGCTTTCGTGAACTTTAGTCTCTCCGGTGCGTCCTTTCGCCGAGCTTGGTTCTGTTTGGCTAGCTTCCGGCATTGGCTCACAGTCCTCGCATCCGCGAAGTTTGACCCTCTAGCAGACTCTAGCAGATGCAGGTGCGCGTCTATCTTATCTAGTTGGCGGCAGACCCTGCGAGCAGCACGAGCAGCACGTACACCGGCAGCTAGATAGTTGAGCACGCCATCGTCGTACGACCTGCGGGTAAGATTTCTTCACGACCTTTGGGTGGGGAACTTGTCCTGACAAGAGGGCCTTGACAAGTAGGCATCTGTGCAACTATAGCTCGAACCATGGCTTTGACTCCTATCCGAATCACTGCGCTCCGGCATTCTGCGTTCTACTCGCCCCTGCTGTACACTATCAAGAGTGGCCTTTTGCAGTCACAGGGCTTGGAGCCGCACTATGAGCCGGGTACTCCGAGCAACCCTGCCCTGGAACAGGCAGAGCATCTCTTGGGAATCGAAGTTTTCTGCGCATTTTCTCTTGGGAAGTATGATTAGGTAGCTTTGGCTCCTCTTTGGTGTATGCCCATGCAGCTGATAGTATCGGCTTGTATCTAGCAGGTGAGGAATGGCACAGCCCATCTGTCGCAGCTGGCGGTTGCAGCCAGCTTTGCGGAACTGGAGAAGGGCACGAAGCAACCGGACATAGTCCATTTCGCGCAGATAAATGTGCCTTGCCTAGAACAGACCAAAGCCTTCACATAGGGGGCTACAGAATCTTTTCCTAACCCCCAACTCTTAAACCCTAAACCCTGCCGTCAACGCCCAGAGGGATGCAGGAAGTTTAGTTGGTGCATCTGGGTGTCGTGTTGGTTACTATCCAGCCCCTCAACAGCCTCAGCCAGCATGGCTTTCTTGGGTTTCCGACGGAGAGAAAGTGGGCCACCAAAAAAGGCTAAACCCTAAACCCAAGCGATGTTTGCAAGGCGCGAGACGGCTTCTTCCTCTGCCGACGTGGCTCTGGAACGGGCTTCGATTGGCGTGAGCTTGAGAACAAAAAGGCCTGCGTTGCTTGTGGATGTCTGGCTCTCGAAATCAGGGTTTCGGGTTTAGCACCAGGGCTTTTGCTTCAGAGGTTTTTGGGGTTTAGGGTTCGATTCTGCAGGGCCAGGAGCTTAGATACCAGACCCCTTGCTCCACCAAGCAGGTCTTGGTCGACCACCTCTTCCAGCCCTTGGCAACGATAAAGTATGCTTGTCACCTGAAGCAGCTTGTTCTTGGATTGAAAATCAGTGTTATTTGATTCAAAGCAGCGTCGTGACTGATTCTGAGTTTGTTGTGCGATAGTAGTCAGTGGGCTTTTCGTTCAGAGATCAGCTGTATGCAGGGGTCGACCGGCAGGAAGGAGGTAAACAAAGAAGGGTTCCCATCGCGATGATGCATGCCATCGGTGCACACCGAGCTTGCTGGACTGTTCACTGTTTCACGAGGCACAAGATGCGACACATCCGAGGCCTCGTGCGGGTAGCAGCAGTTAAATGAAAAGCAGGCACCATACACCAACGACCGCAGTATCAACACCAACACTACCAACAGCATCAGCAACACCAACAACAGCACCAGCAGTCCAAACGACGAAGCAATCGAAGCAACACGCATGCCAAGACAAGCACTGAACATGAGAACGGGTGAGAGCTACACATGTCACAAGAAGATGAGGCGGGTATTGGTTCACTGGCAACCGTAGGAAGACTCGTTGGCCTTCGATGCACGGTTTCATATGCCTTTGTATATACACACATGCACACGCATACGTATGGTACATACGCACATGCGCAGGTTCAGACATCTCGACACACAGACATCCGGACATATATATATATATATATATATATGTATATATTGTTGTAACATGTGTATGTATACATACACATACATGTCGTATTATATACATGTCTTTGTGTTTGTCTATCGCGGCAGAACGATCCACGCACTCCACCGTCGCGAACATTACAGGCTAATGTCATTCCGGTTCATTAAATCCTCCACCAGCCAAGCCACGTAAACTGCACTTGTCGGTACTCCGCGTCCGCTGCATGATGGCATAGGCAAGTGCGAAGAAGCTCTATTCCTGGCGCTGAATGCGATTGAAGCTTCAAAATCAGTGGCTCTACAAGGGGATGGAGGCCTCCATTAAATGAAACCGCGAATAGGTCAAACTTCCATTCCACCGCAGCGTCAACCTTCGCTGCCAGAGCCTAGCTCAAGTTAACACTTCAGTGACATTGTTGACGGGCTTAGTCAGCCGCCTTGCCGTCATTTCTTGCAATGACTTTGTTACAAGTCTTGCGGAAGCTCTACACCGTTTCACGATCTGCATTTTGCCGGACACCATCGGCCACAAACTTCGCGCTGCAAATTCTATGCACTCTGTAAATCGATGAATGTACGATAATGTACGTATACGTCAATTAAACAAGTAGGAAAGGTACGAAAGGTACATGTGCAACATACACACGCATACATATGTACAAAAGTATACTTATATATCTATTTTTTACATTCACACACTCTCTTTCTTCCTATGTATTTATATATCTTTTCTTTTTACAAACACACACACACACACACACAGACACACACCTGTACCATGGAAGGCCTGAAGGCCAGACCGCAAACAGAGCTTGCGCACGTTTTTGACAACGAGCATGCACGTCTCCTTCCCCTGCTTTAAACCCTAAACCCGTCGTTCCCAAAACCTTAAAGCCCCCTAAAACTTACAAGCCGAAACTTAAACTTAAACCTCCTGAAGCCCGAGACCCTGACTCCACACGGTCTGACAAACCAGAATCGACACCCAGGAAGGTCGACTATTCGCGCATTCAAGTCGTGGATGCAGGCTCCAACATAGTCGGGAGTCTCAGAAAACAGGAGACTCTGCTATAGAGCCAACATCTTAAGGGTCAGCTCAATTGTGTGTTTTCGGGTTCGAGAATCATGTGCTAAGCGGTTGCAGCGCCTCGATCGATTTCGGTGTTGCAGGTGATCCTGTGTCCATGGAGCAGGCATTCAGAGATGGCCAAGGAGACTACGTTCACTTGCAAGGTCCAGCTGCCCAACTACTGGAGCACGATGGTGTAGGCTGGAGTCGACAAGTCACGTGGCCCGAGCGTCTAGGGTGTAGGATTCAGCAGGGTTAGGCACGAAATCCGATTGGGAGGGGTACAGGATGCAGGGTGTAGGGTTTGAGGTACTTAGGCACGAGATTTGCAAGCCAATTGCCTAAAACCCTAAACCCAAAGTCCCTAAGCGCTAAATCCCCAAACCCTGCTAGCTCAACCATTCGAGCAGACATAAAACGGAGCTCAAAAAAGAAATCCCTAAACCCCAAAAGGTGTCGTGGTGGCTTCGTTGGGTGAAGCTCTTGGGCCCATTGCTTTCAGCTCGCTTTGCGCCCGTCGAAGCTGGTTGAACTCTGACATGGCCAAAGCCTTTCTGAGGGCTTATCGCCTCTTGCCAGAAAGGAAGTATATGATAATAGGATATAGTCTATTCTAGTCGGAAAGGAAGTGTATGATAGTAGATTGTAGTCTATTCTAGTCTACAGTAGTGTTGTATGTTGTAGTCTATTATGGCATATGTTCAGTATACTTTAGTATATTACAGTGTATGTTTTGAATGATGTAGCATTCGTGAGCCTATTGTAGGTTCGGTTATTATGCTTCATTCGAGCATGTTGCCGTATACTATGGAGCTTCTCCTTGGCACTTCAAGTTGGAGTAGGCTGAAAAGCATGAAGAGATTCCAAGTTCAGACACTTGCGGGTAACCCTTCAGGTGAAGGTTGCCGGCAAACTGCAGAAACATCACCTGAGAAAGTGGCGGAGGCGCGCCACCATGTCTTGCATGTGCAGCAGGCCACTTCGATTGTGCCTTGTAGTCTACCGAGCTCGTGTCTTAGTGGCTGCGGGTCTGGGACAGTCTTCTGCCTGTGTCCGATTGATAGTTTCCTGGTTGCCTTTTGTCAGTTTGTGTCTCGCATTATTCTCCTTGTCCAGGATTGAATCGCTCGCTTGCTCACTCACATACGCATGTACCCGTCCACCGTCCGCCCACCAACCTGCCTGCATGCCTGCTTTCCATCGCCCGCAATTGCCCTCTGAGAAACGTGCTCGCAGTCGCACACTCTTACTTACTCTCATTCCGTCTCTCTGGCCCTCCCTCTCTCTCTCTCTCTCTCTCTTCTCTTACTGCGCATTCCTTCAGTCTCACAACCCCTCGCTCCTCTGTGCTCTCACGCCTCGCTCTCCCCACACTCGCACTCGTCCTTCCTCGTCTTACCGACGTGACGCAGACTCCCAGTCGTGCTGCCGAAACCGAACCATTGAACTTTCAAAGGCGCGGAGTCGGACCCCACTCTTCAACTCGCTCCTCTCATTTGCGTCTCCTTGCTTATTTATCGGATTTTCCGTTTCTCTATGTTTCGAAATGACCTCGTGGCTGATTCTCCTGCAAGGTGGTCCAGCCATTTTTCGACGATATCGACCGGAACGTGTTGGTGTCGACAATCTCGACCTACCAGCAGATGGGCTGCTGGGGAGGACAAGTAGACATAGGGCCTGATACATATGACAGACTAGTCGAGGCATTTCTCTATGCAGGCGTTATCACTCAGCGGCATCCTTATGATGCTGCGATTGCCAGCGTTGTGGAATAACAGGCTCTATCGCGCATCAGAGTTGCAAAACGGTTCGCAATGCAATGCTTGCTGTGCAGTCAGCAGAACAGTACATGTCAGGTTCTAGAGCTGTTGGCCTTTCTTTTCCTTGGCAAGGTTGGATCAGATGCAGACATTGGGCCAGGTCCTTGAAGAGGGCCGCTGAAGCAACTCTTACTTACATATATACATAGATACATATGTACATATATACACATATACACATATACATACATACATATGTACATACATACATATATACGCACCTGTATATATACACATGATATGCATATATATATATATATATATATATATATACATGTATATACACATACATACATATGTACATACATACATACATACATACATACATACATACATACATATGTACATACATACATACATACATAAATACATACACACACATATATATATATACACATACACACATACATACACACATGATAGGATGTAAGCCCAGGCTTCCAAAATACGGAGTTGAATAGTAACTCATTCGTTGGGATAGAGAGGACTTCAAGGAGTGGCACAGGCGAGGAAGGTGAGCGATGAAGCGAACGACTGCCAGACTCACCGGAATATACTGGAAAGCTTTGCAGTAGCCCTAAACCCTAAACCCTAGTCAGGCTGTGCCGCGACATTTTTGGCCTGCGTCTGAGAGCTGGCAGCGGCAGCATCGTTGCGCAGTATGCACACCTGGATATTGCCAGGACCATGAGACCGACTTGCCGGTACAGGTTCTTGAGGTGGGGCCGGAGCCCATAAGTTTGTTGGAATGCTTTTGATTTGTCCCTGTGATCGCGAATCTCTCTGCAGGCACGGTGTGCTCCGCGCCTGCAGCACCTGGATGCATTGGCCTCGGCACTTGTCTCGTCAATGCAGGCAGATGTCCAAGCTCATGTGAAGCAGGTGCAACTGCCGGAGCATGATCCCAACGATCTTGAAAACCATCTCCTCCAGGCGGCGACATGTTCGGTGCATGATACAGCCGAGAGCATACATGTATTCGTTCTTTTCTCACTTATGTTCCGTTGAAACAATCCTAGGCATTCAAACTGCTCGCAAACTCAAACTTGAAGTCCGAACTCCGGAAAATCAGCACGAAGGTCTTCTAAGTTTATGCCATCATGTGTCCAAATGAAGAGCCGCTCGCATCGACCATACTAGTAGATGTGGTGCTGTAGACCTGACCTACTTCATGGGGCCATGGTAATGCAAGGTCTGCCGATTTTGGATAGGCAATCACCTGCCTGGTTCAAGAACCTTGACATGGGTTTTTTCCGACAATAGGGGACCCGAATACAGCACTCCAACTAGTAGGATCCTTATTATAAGGCCCCAAAATACGGCACCCCTAAGTTTCGGAAACTTCCAAACTCAGACCCCACAAGAGCCAGAATCTTGCTCTGGTGCAGGTGTCTTTGACTGTTTTCCAGTTGCTGCGCAGCACATTCGGGGATACCGCGGTGCAAGCGCTGGATGGCTTCGTTTCTCGAACAGGTCGGCACAGTCATTTGGGTCTGGTTCCGTTGGGTCAAGAGCTTGCCGATGATGAGACGAAGTCGATGTTAGCTGATTCGGATGCTTTCTTTGGGTGGCAAGGTTTGGCAAAGTAGTCGCTGTATAGATCGCTTGCGAGGGGGGTTTCGGTTTTTCTTGCATTATGTAGGTTCATGGGTTCCAGATGTCACAGCTCTACGCCTCGTGGGTTCAACGTTGTATCGTGGACCCTCTCAAAATGTTTCAGTTGCTGTTAGCCACGTGTTTGAGCACAAAACAACTGTCAGAAAGAATTGGGGATCATGGCGGGCGAAGCGCTCTTGCTGTTCAACCTCTGACCCTAAACCCTAAACTGAACCCTGAACCCTAAACCCTGAACCCTAAACCCTAAACCCCAAACCCTGAACCTTAAACCCCAAACCCCAAGCCCTACCCTGAACCCTGAACCCTAAGCCCTACCCTGGACCCTAAAGCCGGGATCTCGTGGGGGTCAGGCCGGAAGATGATAAACGAGATGTTGGAGCGCACGATATCTCAATCGTGTGCACCCCAGAGACTCCCTGGGATTAAGAGGTTTAGAGGTTTTAGAGGTTTAGTGGTTTAAGGGGTTTAAGAAGGCTTTAAGGGGTTTAGGGGTTTTAGGGGATTTTGGTGTTTTTAGGGAGTTACGGATTCTAAAAAGGGGCTTAGGGGTGTAGGGTTTAGGGGTCAGGGGTTTAGTGAACTCTGCTCAGCAAGTGGCCTTGCTTTGACTTTGGCGATGCTTCTCGTGGCTCGGAGCGAAGTCGAGGTCTTTCTGTCCTCCCTCGAACTATTCGTCCGGGGAGATAGGTGCCAGCTGTGGTCAGCCACAGGGAGTTTCCGAAAATAATGGACCCTAGTATCCTACCCTAAATAGTCGGATCTTTATTATAAGGACCCCCAAATACGGTATCCCAAAATTTTCGGAAACTCCCACAATGAGCCCCAAAAGACCCTGAACCCGAAACCCTCAACCCTAAACCCTATGCTCCTTGCAGGAGCCATCGCTGCGCCTGCGGGGGTGGGATCTGGTGCGTTCCTCTCGGTGACGCTGGTCTTGTTCATGGCCGGAGGCTTAAAAAGGGGATCCTTTAAGGGTTTCTTAAAGTCTTAAAGGGATCTATAAGGGTTTCTTAAAGGGATCCTTTGAGGGTTTCTTAAAGGGACCTATAAGGGTTCTATAAAGGGATTAGGGTTCAGAGTTACCGAATATTAGGGGTACCTTCTTTTGGGGTCCTTACAATGGGGCGCCTACAATCCAGGGAACTATATAAGGGTCCCCAATTTTCGGAAACTCCTGTGACTTGAAGAAGCCGCAGGTAGAGGGAAGGATATTCGCTCACTAAGGCTCCTTTGCTGCCTTTCTGCACCTGCCGGCTGACGTCGTGGCTTGACATCCGGAATAGAAAGCGCTTGAGGCCTTGCATCTCCATGTCTCTTGTAGATGCCAGAACCGCAGTTGCTCCTCAGTCGTAGTCGGGGGTGTGTTGATCTGCCTTCCCCACGTGCGTTCGTTGTCTCCCTATGTGGCTCCAAGGCATGACCTGGACGGCTCCACCGCGAGCAACCTCAGAAGGCCGTTTCGGAACAGCTTTCAGTCCAAAGGGAGCACATCTTCAGACTCTGAACAGGCCGATAGAAGGAGCTTCACCAGATCTCGACCTGCAGGCAGCGTCCAGTCTTTGCTGATGCAGGGGTGCTGAAGCTGTGCGGTTTGCTGAAGAAGAGCTTAGGACTTTGCTCAGACACCAGAGCAATGCTCAAGCTTCGGCTGCAGTCTCAGTGCACGATTTTTGGTATCGGCTGGCTATGATGGGTTCGGCTAACTCCACACGATTCCATCGGCAATTGAGCACGACCGGGCACTTTTGCCAAACTGCGTGTTGTCAGCACAACACGAGTGCTTGACTTCTGTTCACAATCTCGTGTGCCTGATTTTACCAGGCACGGGCTGTGAAAGGTTCAGCCGAGGCAGGGGTTCTCTTCGCTTCCTGGAGAGTTTCCCTCTTGTGTCTCATCGGCGAATGCTCTGGCAGGTTTGGGATGGCAACCTGGTGTACGCCACTGAGTTTCAAACAGGCAGGCAGGAGGTACATTGAGCATCTCAGGTGTCACCGTCTCTTCGGTGCGGCATTTTATCAGGCACGGCATCTAGCAGCTGGCCAATGCCGATGCCTGCCATCCTTTGTTGCATTGTCCAAGCTTGCTCGTCTGAAGGCATCGCTGGTACAACTCTCCTCTTTGTGTACGCATCGGTGACGCCAGGAATACTACTGTCAGGCCGTGCAGCGGTTGAGGCTGCTGCCGCCCAGCGACAACACTTGAGCGATAGCATCCCTTCAGGTAGCTTCACGGCCTCTGGTGGCTCATCCGACACCCGGCACATGGCGTCCCTCTCCATGGACAACAGCTTGGCGCACGTCTCAGCCTTCAATCCCAAACTGTGAACAAAGAACGCTAAAGGCTAACCCCTAAGCACCAACATCCAAACCCTCAGCCCTAAACTTGAACTGGGAGTTTCCGAAAATACGGGACCCGAATATAGGACCCCAAATAGTAGGATCCTTATTGTAAGGACCCCAACACAAGGTACCCCTAATTTTCGGAAACTCTCAAATCCCAGCTTCGCCTTTGGGTCCCTTGCCCTTCCCTGTTTGGTTGCAGAATCGACGGGAGTTGAAGAGTGGCACAAGATTTCAAAACAGAGAAAGACATCCCAGACCCCAACCTCAACTTCGCCGGAACCAGTGCAGCGTTTTGTCGCTCTGACTGCTGCATGTACGCTCTGTCGCTCTGACTGCTGCATATATGCTGCGGATTTCTGGACGCTGGACACCAACCAAACCCTGATGCGCTGCTTTGTCAAATTACTTATGTGTCCTGACTGCAAGAGACACCGGCACTGGCAACACACGGACGACATGACCCTTGTCTCCTTGGACCTGCCGGGTACTGTTTTTTGCTGCTGAAGTGTCCACAGTGGGGCGTGGAAACGAAGCCGATACAACATGTCCTCTACTGCCAAAGCCAGCAAGATGGTTGAGCCTTGCAACGACGTTTCTGCAAATGCGTATGATACAAGTCCATCATCGCTGATGGCAACATTCTGAATCAAAGACGCAGAATGAGATTTACAGGGTTCGCTGCAGGGGAGTGTCGGAAAGCTTCAGGATGCAAGAACCGCAACTGAAGGTACTTGGGAGGGCTTTGGAAGCTGCGGAAGAGATGCCATGAACCCCAATTAAACGCTTAAACTCCTAGCGAGACGGCAAAAGTGGTCTGTCAAAATAAAAACAAGAATCCCCTAAACCCTAAACCCCAAACCCCAAGCCCTCTTCAGGTGCAGACCTGGAGCGTAGGGCGACTTGGATGAAGCTTAGTCCTGTCAGTTTACGGTTCAGGGTTTAGGGTCGAGTCGTCCTAGAGTTCGACCTGAGGTCGTACTTCGTGTTCTGCGCGATGTTGATCTTCAGCGTGGTCTGGCCCTACATCAAGCTTTTGATGATGCTGCGCCCCCGCCATCCACCTTTCTTTGACGAGATCCGAGTCGGCTGCTACAGTCAGTCTTAAATCCCAACCCCGAACCCCTGACCCCTGAACTCTAAGCCCCTAAGCCCCAATTAGATCCCAAAACTCTTAAACCCCGAAACCCTGAAGCCCCTAAACCCCTAAATCCTGAACTCATCCTTGAATCCTCGCCCTGAAACCTTGAGCCCGAAGCTCTCGTGCCGGGAAGATGAAGATAGATCAGTTTAGGTTCCTGAGTAATACCCGTTTGCTATTTTTTGGCGGGTACCCGGTTTAGGGTTTCAGGGTACCCTTCTTTAAACCTAGTAAAAGAAAGGGTACGGTTACCTTTAGAAGATGAAGGGCACCCTTTTCAAACCTACGTCGTAGGAACAAGGGGGTACTTTAATATGGGAGTTTCCGAAAGTAGGGGACCCTAATATAATACCTTAAAATATTAGGATCCATATTATAAGGACCCCAAATAAGGTACCCCTAATATTCGGAAACTCCCATATAAAAGGGGCTACTTGGAGGATCATGGGACTTAGTACATAAGGTTATAAGTACTTCATTTGGGGTTATAAGAAGAGTTACCCTAATTTATAAGCCTAGTTACTAAGTTCCATGATCCTTTAAGTAACCCTAAGACCCCTCTTATAGAAAACTTCTATATCCCGTTTAAGGAGCACCTTCAGGAACCCTAGCCTGGCACAAGGTACTAAGTCCCATGATCCTTTAAGTACCTACCCCCCCCTCTTATAGAACCCTTATAGATGCCTTTAAGGAGCCCCTTAAGGAACCCTATAGTTACTAGGTCCCATGATCCTTTAAGTACTGAGGAACCCCAGATCCGCCAGGTATGTCTGGGTGAGGCCCATCGAGCAGCAGACCCTGGGTCCTCTGCTGGTCTTCTTGGCCTCTGCCTTACTCTTCGTGGGAGGTTCCGAAAATTCGGGGGTACCGTATCTTGGGGGTCCTTATAATAAGGATCCTACTAACTTAGGGTACCATATTAGGGTCCCCAATTTTCGGAAACTCCTTCATTGCGCACACCAGGTTAATCAGAAGTTGATAAGAGCCTGTAGACCCCCGATGAACAAGATTTTCTATAAAAGCCTGTAGACCCCGGATTAGTAAGAGATTTATAGAAGCCTGCCCAAAAAAGGGAGTGTAACCGTGATGGAAACTGTCAAGATGCCCTTCGAGCAAGTGAGTGTTAATCAGGGGTCTACATGATCAGTAGGGAACCCTGCTGTCCCCATGAGGATGTGGCTCTGCACCAAGGACCAGATAGGGAAGTGGTCGCTTATGGACAACATCATCTTGTTTCTCTTCGCTGCGACCTCATCCAATATGTATCGACTGGAGCCAGTTGGGCAGGGGTGTTCTGTATTTCGTTGCTCCAAACTTGGGACGCAGATACAGCGAGTACCTGGAGCTGAATTGGAAGTTCAAAGCATCGGCTTCCTCAAGTCGTGCAAACTGTCGAGGTCGTCTTCTTCCACATTGCCTGGACGGGCGAGGCCTGCGTAACCGTAGCTGAGTGAATCTAGTCAGTCCGTGGCTCCTTCGCATCGTTCCAGCCTGGTCGCCCTTGTAATATAGGGTTTCCATTATGAATATAATGAGGAACCCACCAAAATAGTTTTGGTAGTTCTTTGGGCCCCTGTATCATAGTGCCCTTCTGGTAACCTTAGTAACCCTAATAGACCCCTATTAAAGGAACCCCCAAGATAGTATAGGTAATGTGAATTTAGTCGTCTCACTCCCGGAGGACATTGTGGGAGGTGGGCAGGCCAAGTTCGGCTTGAAGTGCAGCTGGCGCCTGAGACGGACAGCCATCCCCAAAGCAGAAGACTACTTAAAGGATCATGGGACTTAGTAACTAGGGTTATAATTAGGGTAACTATACTTATAACCCCGATTAAAGTACTGATATAACCTTACTTACAAAGTCCCATGATCCTCCAAGTATAGTGAACCGGCACGGTACTATCTCTATCCGTCTATCTACCTACCTACCTATTTGTCTGTCTGTTCTTTCTATCTGTCATACACCAAAAATTCTTGCAGTGTCTAGCGCAGGGGGCTCCCTTGCCCTTCGTTGATGGGCCATTCGATGACGTCGCTTCAGTTACTTCAGCCCTCAGCCCTGCCTCTCTTCTTCGGCTTCCGACGTTCACACTCTAGTATATCATAGTATGTATCATAGTATATTATAGTATATTCTAGTATGTATATTATGATAATATATTATAGTATCTTCTCGTATATATTATAGTATGTTATAGTGCCTTGCTCTCGAGACCCTGGGACTGCCCTGCAATCTCTCCGAGTCAAAGCTTGCTCCCTCTTCTCTTCGTCCACCCGAGCCCTTTTCACTCCGCTACCAGAGCTTCGGAACGTTTTAGGGTTTAGGGGTTCAGGGGAGTGCTTGAGGACCGATGCTACCTTAGCGACTTCTGGGGTGCCTTATGAGTTGTGTGTTCCTTTCACCTCGTGTAGTAAGTTGCAACCATTGGGCTGCGACCTGACGGATCCTATGCCCGAAAGCGTGAAATGAATGAATCCATAATCTATCTGTCTATCTATCTGCCTATCCGTATGAATGTATGTATACCATACATACATACGTACATTCCCACATGACCATGCATACGGCAAGGACCGGAAAGGCCAGCTCTGCTTGGAGGATCATGGGACTTGGTAAGTAAGGTGTTAAGTACCTCAATTGGGGTTATAAGTATAGTTAACCTAAGTATAACCCTAGTTACGAAGGGGTTATAAGTATAGCTACCCTAATTATAACACTAGTTACTAAGTCCCATGATCCTTTAAGTGCTGCTTGCGATGCGAGGCCCGGAAGATGAGCTCAACACCTTCCTTGCGGCCACCATCCTGCAGGGGGCCCCTTTGAAAGAGCTTGCGGCACCAGAATTTACTACAAGGCACCAGACTATACTACAATCTTCTATAATATACCATAGTATACCATGATATATTATTATGTAGTATAATATATTATAAGATACCATAACAAACTATACTTTACTATAGAGTACCGTAGTATACCATAAGATACTACAGTAGCTGCTTGGGGAGGATGGAACTCTGCGTTAGGTCCCTACTTCTGGGCCATGCCATGCTCTGGATACACCGGGCCAACGAGAAGACGAGCCCAGGCGGGAATGCGGAAAATGCCACTCCGCCAGTTTTGTCGCCGACAAAGAGATCCTGTCTGGGGGTTCCGAAAATGGGGGACCCTAATATGGTACCCCAAAGAGTAGGATCCTTATTGTAAGGACCCCCAAAATTAGGGTGACGGTGCTTTCTGCAGCAAGAAGATGCCACTGAAACCATGCTCGCCTGACCCTGCTCGCATCCTGGAAGGCCCAGAGGAAGCTGTGCTTCAGTCCGGCTGTCCTGGCATGTGCTGCTCCTGCTGGCATCGAATGGAATCGAAGCTTGTCCGCCCAATGGCAGGCCAGCCGTCTTCTCGACGCTTGCGGGTAATAGGCACGCCTCCGCTTTGCTGATCTTGCCGCGTGCCAGATGCCAGAGCTCTCGAGCACCACTTGTCCGTTGTTCGGCTCTGCTAAAACGGGCATGCCAGCATCGATCACGAGTAGTTTTGCTTGCTGCTGGGGCTATACCATCTTCAGAGGAGACTGTATTCAGGGTCCTATCTTCGTGTGGTGGGCTGGGCATGTGGTTGAATCTGGTGTCCTTACGAAGAGGTTGACCTGCAGGACAGATGTGTCCCCCAGCCCCTAAAGCCATTAAACCCCGAACGCCCCCCTAAACTTAAATGCGCTGCTGCCTTTGCCCCGGGTGCTCGTCTTTTCGGAAACGGATCGATCCGAAACAGCAAAATTAGAATCCTTCGGACCCTCAATGCCCAGAAACCCCGCATTCTGCATGTGCAGGTGCGGGCCATGTGGTGTGCTTTCTGCTGATGGTTTCGCGCCGAGCTTCTGACCCTAAGCTCAACGCCCTGAGCCCCAAAACCCTAAACCACCCTAAACCCAATCTACACCTAGAACCTGAAGCCTCAAACCCTGCGTTTCGGGAACATCCACAACCCTGTACACGCGTCTTGCCTCGCAAGCATGCGATGGAAATGACATCTTAACCTAAACCCTACACCCTACACCCTTAACTCTTTAATAGCAGTCTTATCACCCTAAACCTTAGCATCAGTGTAAACCCTAAGCCCACAAGCCGCAACGCCAAGCCCTCATGTCAGTATTCATCGCACTTTTCGAGGTTCTCTCGTGGCAGGTGGAAATTGCGCGGACCTTGGTATGGAAGCTTCAAGTGGCTTTTAGGTTGAAAGTGTTACTAGAAGAGGTGTACGGTTAGAGTGTTACTTTCGGGGTTTAGGGTTACTATGATGTTACGAGAGGCGTGCAATAAGAGGGCTGTATGGTTGAGGCTCGACAGCATCCTGAGCTAAGGTTGAAGTCACCTTCAGTGGCCTCGTCGGAGCGTTTTTGGAGGCACTCTCTGGCGCAAGTGAGTAAGTAAGTAAGTAAGCAAGTAAGTGTAAGTGTATGTGTGTGTGTGTGTGTGTGTGTGTGTGTGTGGGCGTGTGGGCGTGTGTGGGCCTGGATGCCAATTCGGCAGCCACCTCACTACTAGTAGTTTCGTTCGCCATCACGGTTCTGGACAGATTCAGAAACGACACCACTATTCCCCTTCGGATGGCGCTCCTGGTCGAAGGTGACGCAGCAAGAAACCTCCAAGAGATACAGCGCCCCCGGCAAGTTTCTGAGTCACGACAGACTTCGGTCCAAAATTCGGCGGACTGAGGCATTCTGGGGATCCTTGCCTGTTTGGGAGCGCAGGGCTCGATGTACCTGCAGGCACGGCGCAACCGACCTTTCGCCAGCTGTAAGCTGTCGTCTGCTAGCTGCTGCAGCCTCGCCAGGTGACTTTTGCAGTTTTTGTGCTAGCCATCCCTATGCTTCAGCTGCTGGCAATGACATTCTTCTGCGGGAAGCTGAGGAAATCGTCTGCGTCGTGCTTTGGGACTCTATTGCATCCGCATGTCTTCGCAGACCTATGGAGGCCTGCATCAGCTGCGCCCAAAGCGTCGGCAGCAGTTTCTTCGTTTATGCCGGGTCCTCGCTGTGCACCTAGCAGACCTCGGTGTATGAGAAGTTATGGAATCAGGCGAAGCCCGAACCCCAAACCCCAACATCGCAAAACCCAAAACCCGAAGCCTACTTGGAGGATCATGGGACTTAGTAAGTAAGGTTATAAGTACCTTATTTGGGTTATAAGTATAGTTACCCTAATTATAACCCCAGTTACTAAGTCCAATGATCCTTTAAGTAAACCCGAGCAAGCCCCTCAGGCTATACCTTGCGAGCTTGGGCTGCTTATGACGTCTTCCTCATCGCCTTCCTTGCCGCAGTTCTGGGCGGCGACAGGCTGCTGTTTGAAGTAGCCCTTGTAACGCCTTAGTAGTTAAAGTAGGGTTCCCTTAAAAGGGTTCCTTAAAGGGGTCTATAAGGGATCTGTTTCTTATTGACGGCGGGTCTCGGGTATAACCCCGATAGTAACCTCCTTATAGTGATCCTGATGGTGGCCCTTTGTGGCCCTTATAGCCCTAAGCCCTGAAGCCTAAAGCCCGAAGCCCTAAACCCTAAGCCCTTATAACCCTAAACCCTATGCCTTGTAACCCTAAGAGCCTCCTGGGTGTCAGGTATGGCATCGGCCAGTTTATCGAGTCGCTCCCTCAGACTTTCAGCCTCAGCAGCATGAGGATGGTCTCAAGTTCTGCGTTGGTTTTCGTTTTTACATGAACTATGTAATAGACCCAAGATGTGTTGAAGTCTTTATACATCTATTGTATGAAAATATGATATGATATGGTTCATATCATATCATATTTTCATACTCAACACATCTTGGGTCTCTTTGGCACTCTTTCGGAGGTTGATCGTTTACAAGCAAAACCTTGCGCCCACGTGCCGTGGCCTGCGGGACGTCGGTGTCGAGTGCCTTGCTCCCAGCTGACAGCTGCAATCGTCACTTGAGCATCAGTGAGTGGGTGGTTGTCAAAAGTATTGTCCCTTCTTGGATCCTTATTATAATACGGCACCTAATATTTAGGGTATCCAAAAAGGGACCATAATTTTGACAACCACCAGAGTGTCCAGGCCTACATATACACCTTGGCTTCTTGCCTGGCACAATTATCATCGTTGCTGCCGCCAGCCTCTCAGCCTAGCTGGATTCCACGCACTCTCCTCCAGCTATAGATGTCCTCGATGTCCGGCTGCAGTCTTTAAGATTATTATTATTATTATTACTATTGTTATTATTGTTACTATTATTACTATTATTATTACTATTACTATTATTACTATTACTATTATTACTAAGGTTGCACTCTCCTATGTTGTGAGCTTGCTGGTGGCGTGTGAGCCTCAGAGAGTTTGGCACTCGCAAGAAGGCGTCAGTTGCAAGCAAAAATCAGGAGAGAGACGAGTCCCGGATGAAGATCTTGCCGCACCGTCTGGGAACACAAAGCTGCCAGGCAAAAAGCGAACAGATCCGGGCTAAGGCTATGTTCGACACGTCCGCATCAGCTAGAGGCCTGCAATCTCGAGGCTCCTTGTCGCAGCAATCGGGCCAATGATAAATCTGAGTTACAACCCATGTTCTGCGATCGCTCCGCTGGATTTGCTCGAAGCTTCATCGCGTCTGAACCTGCAGAGAGTTGATGCAGCGTCGAGAGGAGACGTGGGCTCTGTAAGCCATTGTCGCTCAGTGAGCCAGGTCAGGGATGAGCCACAGTTCAGTTTTATGCAGTCCTTACGCAGTTCGGATTCGACTGCATCTGGCACTTGTCTTCTTCGACTGCCGGTTTAGAAGTGTGCTGTTTGTCAAATTCTTCTACTCAGAAGCCATGGCTGCGACTCCCCTCTTTTGGGTTCTCCTCGCCGTTCTTCCATCGGTGTTCGGGATGCGTGTGGAGCAGGACGCAGGCGGCAGAGGGAGCTCGCCGACTTGGAGCAGTACTTCCGCCGAGGAGCTCCAGCAGATACTTCTGGAAGAGCTGAGCCCCCCCGGAGCAACTGCTGTGCCCCCGGAATGCACCAGGCACAGAGACGCCCCTGAGCTGGAGACACCCCTGGGAGCAGTCCGGGATGCAGAGTCCTTAAAGGAGTTGATCGGACGAGTCCGCGGGACCTGGGTTGAGAGATCCTCGGAGGATCATGGGACTTAGCAAGTAAGATTTATAAGTACCTTAATTGGGTTTAGAAGTATAGTTACGTTAAGTTTTACCCTAGTTACGAGGGGGTACGCTAATTGTAACCCTAGTTACCAAGCCCCGTGATCCTTTCAGGAGGCGCAACTGGCTGCTTCCAGCAACTCGGAAAGATGATCTCCAACTTGACAACCACCTGCGAAGAGCGGAAGCCCCAAGAGGACTACATGGACTACATCTTCCAGTACTACACGCCGCCGCTCTCAAAGAAAACCTGCACGGACAGCGTGGACGACATCTTTGTTCACGGCAGTGCCTTGGTGCAGGCCATGCAATACCCGAAGGACAGCGTAGCATCGCTGAAGCTGGACCGAGACACGGCGGCCATGGTCCAATCGCTGTACTTCCTGCGAGCCTGGCTGACTCCGCTTGCTCGAACTCATAACTCTGCGCTTCTTTGGGCAGGTTTCTGGGACGCCGACCCAAGGAAACGTACCACCATGAAGGCACTGCACGAGTTTGCCACGGCCACCGACCACTCGACCGTGCATCCAGACAGCTGGCTGGGGCAGGCGAGATGCGATGTGTGGTGCGCACCAGCACTTGGAGCATCATGGGACTTCGTAGGTAAGGTTATAAGTACCTTAATTGCGGTTATAAGTATAGTTACCCTAATTATAACCCTAGTTTCAAAGTCCCATGATCCTTTAAGCAGGGATGAATGTGTGTGACGTTTTAGTTTATGCTTTGCAAAGATCGAGAGAACGTCAGGTGATTGACAGCAGCGACGATCTGGTTGACTGCTACAAAGACGAGACGCTCCGGCTGCTGCTGAACATGTGGGACATGGTGAGCATGAGCTTCGTGCTCGGCATGATGGAAGGGGGACAAGGTACTTGGAGGATCATGGGACTTAGTAAATAAGGTTATAAGTACCTTAATTGGGGTTATAAGTATAGTTACCCTAATCATAACCCTAGTCAGTAAGTCCCATGATCCTTTAGGTACCGTCGTCGCGCTGGTGAATAAAGGCATGGAGGGCGAGCGGCCGCTTCAAAAGGCCGTCCTCTACGAACATGAGATTCCCACGCTGGGAGTGGCTGCCTATGGACTTGGGTACTGGTCACCCCAGGCTGGGTTCTTGTTAAGGAACTTAGTTAAATCACATAGTAGAAATCTGAACCTTTATAGATCCCTTACAGGAGCCTTAAATTATGGTAACCTAAAGTAAAACCCCTAAACCCCTAAACCCTAAACCCCAAATCCTAAATCCCCTAAGCCCTAAACCCTAAACCCCAAATCCCAAGTCCCTCAAACCCTAAACCCCTCAACCCTAAACCCTAAACCCCAAATCCCTTGAAGCCTAAACCCCTAAACCCCTAAACCCTAAACCCCAAATCCCTTAAACAATAATCCCCGCAGGTCCTGGTCATCGACTTGCAGGGGACCTGCTCGCGGACCAGCCCAGCGCTCCAGCGCCAGCTCCTGGGCTCTTCTTAAGGACTTTACATGTAAGGTACCAGAATAGGGATCTATAAGGGTTCCTTTAGGGGATTTAGGGTTTGGGGCTAAGGGATTTAATCTAAGTTACCATAATAGGCATCTATATCAAATATTATGGTTTCCTTGTTTTGGTAATTTAAATCAAATTCCTCTAAACCCTAAACCCTAAACCCTGAACCCTAAACACTCAAAAAAACCACCCAGGCTCTCCTCGCGCCTGGGCGCGTGGGCGAGATCCAAGCAGAAGAAGTGCTGGCGATTCTGGGATACCATAATTTGGATGTACAAGCGTTCCTTTAAGGGACCTAGAAGGGTTTCTTGAAGGTTTCGGGGATGTACGGTTAAGTTAGCATAGTAAGGAAGCCATACTATTTGCTCTAGATCCCTATTATGGTAACTTAAACTAAAGTCCTCAACAAGAACCCAGGATTGCAAGACTTCGTGCGGAGATCACGGCTGCAGTGGCGATGCCTCGACTGTGGCGCTGCAAGCTGCAGCTTGGACGCTGCCTTGGCCAAGCAAGTGAGACAGCTGGTCGAGGCCTTGAGGGGGTTTGGGAGTTTCTCGAAGACTAGGGGTACCAAATTTGGGGGTCCTTCTAGTAAGGATCCTACGATGTAGGGTACTGTATTCGGGTCCCCTATTTTCGGAAACCCCCGTTAGGGGCTGTGTAAGTCGCTCATGTTCCCTGTAGTTGTCAGCTATCAGGAGAAGCAGCCGAAAGACGAGAAGGGCCACGCGCTCTTGCTGGCAGTGAGAAACACAAGTCAAAGCGAGGTGCGGTTGCGGGTCGGTTGTGCCTGAGAATGCTGCGAGAAGTCCTCAGTCGGCAGTTGCCTGATAAGATAATTAGCCAAACCTATCGTATGACGGCAATTGTTAGCAATGCGACATGTCAGCTGGTTTCGTGTGGTGCCCTGAGGCGGACAGAGAATTGGGGAATGAGCGCACAGAAGCAGACCGCATGTTGATGGAGTTGCTGTCGAGTGTACAACGGATCAAAGGCTTCGAGGCTGCTGTTGAAAAGGTGGGGACAGACTTCAAGCGCATGATCTCGGAGAGAAGCAAGATCCCTCACCGCCGCCACAGCCAGGTCTCGGTGACTCAGGTTCAGGGTCTGCTCGATGGGAAGGCTGATCCCAACATGGCAGACCGACGCGGCTCCACAGTCCTGGACGAAGCTGTCGAGAACGAGAACGTGGAGGTGGCGGCACTGCTCCTGCAGCAGCGAGCAGACCTCAATGTGCGGGATGAGAGTGGCAAAACACCCCTCCACACGGCTGCAAGTAAAGGTGTCTCTCCGATAGCGACGCTGCTCCTTGAGCACAGGGCAGATGTGAATCCCTACGATGACGGAGGTCAGACGCCCCTGGCGACAGCTGCCTACTTTGCTCGCTCGGAGGTGGCAGAGTTGCTATTAGAGCACAGGGCCGAAGTGAATCGATGCGATGCGAACGGCAACACGCCCCTCCATCAGATTGCCAGGAAACTGGGTTGATGTTAAGAATAAGAAGTTCAAAGTTAGCATACTAAGGCAATCGTATTGTTTACTATAGACCCCTATTATGGTATCTTAATTAGATCCCTATTATGGTAACGGTAATTCACATAAATCTCTAGTACGGTGGTTTGTTATAGATCCCTATTATGGTAGTTTACATAGATCCCTACTATGGTAGCTTGATTAGATCCTTATTATGGTAACTTACTTCAATTCCTATTCTTATGGTAATTGACGTAAGTTCCGATTCTTATGGAAATTTACTTAACTTCCTTTTCAAAAGAGCCCAGGAAAGGTGACTCTGGGATGGCAACTCTGCTCCTTGATCACGGAGCAGAGGCGAGTCTCCATGACAGGAACGGTGCCACCCCGCTCGAGTTGGCTGTTGTGCAGGACTGTCTGGTGAATAGTAGGGAATGGGGCAATGGATCCCTACAGTAGTCCCGTATGATCTCCAATAGTAGTCTCCATAATCCCATCCCCCCCTTCCCTACTAAGACCCAGACAGAGGATCATTCGGAGCTGGTCGCGCTGCTCCTTGAGCACAAGGCAAAGGTGAATGAAAAGAATCAAGAAGGCCGAACGCCCTTGCACCTCGCTGCCGTGCACGGTCGCTCGGAAGCGACGGCGCTACTCCTCAATCACTCGGCTTGGGTCAATCCCCGAGATGAGAATGAGTGGACTCCTCTCCACTTTGCTGCGCAACAAGGTCATTTGCAAGTGGCCGAGCTGCTGATCGACCACAAGGCTGAGGTGGGAGTTTCCGAAAGTTAGGGGTACCTTATTTTGGGATCCATACAATAAGGATCCTAGTAGTTAAGGTACTATATTGGGGTCCCCTATTTTCGGAAACCCCCTAAGCCCTTGTTGTGCCAAACCGCTGTGGTTAGCCCATCGCTGTGCCTGCAGACAGGCCAGTGATGGCTAACTGGAGTTAATTCGTAATGGGCATCCATTTAGTCGCCAAGTCTTTCGCTTCGTGACAATCCGAAATGACCGATTGCATAAACCCTAAACCCTACCAGGTGAGTCTCCATGACAAGTCCTATGGCATGGTCACGCCCCTCACCTTGGCGAAAGGCTCGGTGAGGGAACTGCTTCTGCAGCACGGAGCGCAATGAGCGCGCCTTTGAAGCTCCGTCTTCCAGAGAGATCGTTTGAAAACAAGTTGGAACACAGCTGCAGGGTTTGTACCGCGGTTATTGGTTCGGTTCGGGGCGATTCGTGTGGATTCGGTTCGGTTTCGCTGTCCTGCATTAGCCGATGCCGCATTGGGGTAAGTTGCAACGCAGATACTTCACTTGCGGTGGATTTGCATCAATGCCCCTTGCTACTATGATTTACCGAGATGCAGCCGTGGGGGTTGAAAAAGCAATATCCCCTTGCTACACAGGCGCTGACTATGTGGGTGGTTGTCAAAAGTATGGCCTTTTTTTGGGAACCCCAAATACTAGGTGCCGTATATTATATTAGGGACCCAAAAAAGGGACCCTAATTTTGACAACCACTCATGTAGCAGCTAGAGGCTCGCAATCTCGGATTTCCTTGTCGCAACAATCGGATTTTCATGGCTCTAGATGACAGCCCCTGCCCGGTGATTTGATTTTCTGTGATCGCTCCGCCGGGAGTGCCCTCGAAGCTTCGTTGCGTCTAAACCTACAGAGAGTTGATGCGGTGCCCAGCATTTAGGGTCTACTAGTCACTAGGAACTAGTACAGCAGTGTTGTTGCCCCGACATTGTAGAAGAACTAAGGCAGAATCTGAGAAGTGCGCTCGCAAGCAGAACAGCCAATGAGCGTGCCCATGAAGTTCAAGCTTTTCAGAATTCTCCGCCGTCAATGGTTCAGTTCATGCAAACGTAACAAATCTGTGTTTGCTTTCGCCTCGGTTCCACTGTTGGGTCCAGCAGCGGTTCGCTTTCCCCATTTTCCTCTGAAAGCTAATGCCGCGATGCATGTTTTTTACTTGCGCTGATACGCCTTGCTTGTGCGATTTATCGAGACGCAGCTTTTTCGCTCTCAGCATGCAACCGTCATTGTCCTTATTCACACCACGTGCAGAGTGAAAGGAAGGACAAGGGCAGCGACCAGCATCCCTTGCAGAACCAGTACAATGCTAGAATACTAATTAGTTTAGGGCATATTATCATACGTAGACGGATAGATAGATAGGCTCTCTCTCTCTCCCTCTATATATATATATATGTATGTATACACACACACACTTTATCAAAGTGACAGGAGACACCTCATTCTCGGGATAAGGCCCAGCCCGAGTGCAAAGCGAGCGCCATGAAAAAGCCGAAAGCCAGCAAGGCAAGTCGGGAACTGGCTGTTGCCCAGCTACCATGCATGAATTGAACTTCAGGTGGCAAGCACAAAGAAGCTGGAGAAGGCAGGAACCCTCAACTCCGAAGCGCAAAACTCCAAACCCGTCACCCCTACAAGCCGCAAAACCCCGTAATATACCCTCAACTCCTAAACCCCAAACCCTAAACCCGTGCAGTAACCCCTACAACCCCAAAATTCTGTAATATCGTACCTTTGCGGACCATGCGTGGGAGCAGCTAAGGACCCACAACCCTGAACCCGACAAACCCTAAACCCCTGAACCCTAAGCCCCAAAACCCTAAGCCCTTACAAACCCTAAACCCCTAAACCCCTGCAAACCCCTAAACCCCTAGAGCCCTACAAACCCCTAAACCCCTAAGCCCTAAACCCCTACAAACCCGTACAAACCCCTAAACCCCTAGAAACCCGTTTAAGCAAGGCCGGGCTGCTCGCAGGGAAGGTCAAGGATCACTTGCCGCAGGCCAGGGACCCCCCCGCACTCTGGTCGCCAGCAGGGGAGAAGACTTCTCATTCTCTGTGATACTATCGATCATAAGCACAAAAATAGCAATGATAGGGAACTAGTTATATACCATGATAATCATAGTCTTATGATTAACATAGTCATTTATAAGACTTTACTGTACTCTACAGCACGACTAAGCGATCTGAGCGTCATGTGGTGCCCGGCGAGGCTTTCGACGTGTCACGTCTGGGCAAGGCGGCACTGCATCTCTGGCTGAGCCCCAAAAGCGTAGGCTTCCCTAAACCCTTATATTTAGGGGTGCTATAAAGGTTTAGGGTTTAGGGTTCCCTAAACTCTTATATTGTGAACCCCAGAAAGTTGGAACATGAGTTTAGGATGATTAGTGCTAGGATTCTCTCTAGTTTACCTTAAGGGAATGAGGATAATGATGTTCCAACTTTCTGGCTTCTACTGTAGGCTAGTTAGTTACTAAGTCCCATGATCCTTTAAGCAGTGAAGAGTCAGTGGATGCATTGGGCCAGGTCGCTGAGGAGGATGACGAGGATGGTCCTCCTGAGGAGGCAAAGATGACAGGATTTGCGGATGTGAGGATGTGAAGTGTCAGTATCAGCCGTCCCGTCTAGCATAGTATCGCATGGCGTAGTAAGTAGTATCAGCATCGCATGGCCTGCAAAAAAAGGGGCCAAAATAATTACCAATGCCGGACCATTTGGGGGTTCCTTATTCTACTTATTAAGGCCCCTATATTATAGAACCCTAGTATAGATCCCCTATAGACCCCCTTTAAAGGTCCCCTTAAAAGGAGCCCGATTCTAATGAACTGGGCCCCTATATGATGCATAGCATGGCATCATCTGTCAACTTGGCCCTCGCCAAAGGTCACCACCGGCCTGGGCACAAATCCAGTGCAGGAGGATCCAGAGATCGAGGTGAAGTAGGGCTTATATTACCATTTTGGTGAGTGTAGATAGGGCTCCTGTTGAATTTTGGTGAGTGTAGTATTGGGTTTTATTATGGGGATACTAGTAATATAAACCATACTCTAGGTCACTTCTGACGCTTTAGGATTACTTGGAGGATCATGAGACTTAGGTAGAGGTACCTTAATTGGGGTTATAAGTAGTTGTAAGTATAGTTACCCAGTTACTACATCCCATGATCCTTTCAGTACAAGGCATGAGGGATAGGGATTTAGGCCTTTCGGGTTTAGGGTCAGCTTTTGTCGTGTTTGGTGGCTTCGGTCATAATGACCGACGCCAATGACATTGAAGCTGTGCAGGAGACTGCGGCAGATGCCCTGTCCAGCAAGGACAGTTGCCCGGGCTGCATGCGGACATGTTCACGTGGGCGGCTGCGCTGTTTGTTGGACTCAGCTTGGCAGGAAAGCGTTGCTGTTGGCAAAGCCCGAAGGCGTAAGAAGCAAGGCCAGGATTCTCGTTTTTGCAGCTGCACTGCGTGCTGGCCTGGTGCTTTTGCCGGAGGTGATGGCAGCAAGCAAGTGAAATACTTGTGGCAAGATCCTGAAAACCAGGCCTGCTTTCAAAGGGCTGCTGCGCACAGTTTGCGCAGACAAGTGTAGGCAGCTGGAGATT